GAACAAACCGGTTTCTAAGTTGGGGACTTGCCTGTACATTGTTTCAAAATGAAACCTAATAAATGTCATTTGTTTTGAATGACATTGTTTGATACCAAAATTCACAATATTTTGTGAAACAAAGAGCAAGGAAAGCATCAAAATACTGAAGTAGGGAGCACAAGCCTAGTCCAGTGAAACAAACTAGATTAGCTTGTTATTTGATGTAACACAAGTTACATAAGGTTACACGTTTATTAGTAATCTGCATATTTAGACCTTTTTCCCACTGAAGTATCCTCAAGCACATTAATTAGCTATTGAAGGAACAAAGGACATACATAGGAACTCATCTCTGATGAAGTGTAACTTTATGTCAGAAAGGAGAAGGCTAATGAATTTTTAAGATTCCAAACAGTGGCAAGAAAGTTGGAAGGAAATTGCAGTAAAATTGTACAATGTTCAAGTTGAAAAAAAAAATGGCTCTGAATTACACCATTCAGTTCTATGCTCAAGGTATATATTAGCTAACACTGCAGTTGTGAGAGGTGGGAGGCCCCTGAGAAATGCTGAGAACGCCAGGCACTCCAGCTCTGAGAGTCACCCTAGCTAAACTCAAAGCAGCATTCTTGAGATTTTAGCAAAAGGCTCCGCCCCAAGCCACAAAAAGATCCCAATCCAATCTTTTCAGCTTTATCCTCTAAAACCTTTTGTCAGATGAGATGGCATTTGTGTTTCCCACGAGGAGAAGGTTGGGGAAGAAAATGAAGATAGCTTACATACAGATTTTGGATGACCAGCTAATCTTACCCCTTCCTAGATAAGTGAAAACAGATAAAATGTTTCTGGGCGGGTTTACCACCTGTTTCACTACAATGGCCAGTCTGTGTGAAGAGGCTATAATGAAGAAAACATTCTCCTTGCAGGGAGAAGCGAGAAACAAATGGGTCTTCCTACACATCACTCTGCCAAATGTAGCCTCTCTCAATCTATATAAGTTCACCTTGAAATAAATATTAAGTACTGCTGTCATCATTGTTTTAAACAGAGCTTCTTTCATTTCTTCTAATAGTAAGTGACTGATTCTATCAGCAAGGGAGCAAAAGGGTGAGAAAGGAAGCTTCCTGCTTGCTGAGTTTTCTGGCTATTTTCATTCAGGTTATTTTCATCTGCCAGATCTTTTTTTTTTTTTTTTTTTGAGACAAATTCTCACTCTGTTGCCCAGGCTGGAGTACAGTGGCATGATCTCAGCTCACTGCAACCTCCACCTCCGGGTTCAAGCGATTCTCCTGGCTCAGCCTCCTGAGTAGCTGAGACTACAGGCATGTGCCACCATGCCTGGCTAGTTTTTTTTAAATTTTTTAAATTTTTAGTAGAGACAGGGTTTCACCATGTTGGCCAGGCTGGTCTTGAACTTCTGACCTCAGGTGATCTGCCTGCCTCAGCCTCCCAAAGTGCTGGTTTGATTACAGGTGTGAGCCACCACATCTGGTCATTTGCCAGATCTTATTCTTTGAAACTATACAAGCAATTTTTAAAAAATTGCAGTAAGATTCCCTAATTACATATTTTAGAGAGGTGTAAGGCAATGATTCTCTGATGAGGTTTAACTCTTTCATCTGGGTTGCACTCATAAGGTAGGTAAAGGAAAGAAAAAGTGTACTGTTGAGAGTTGATCCATAAAGCAGATGGGGAAATATGAAAAGGTAGCAGAGACTGGGTGCGGTGGCTCACACCTGTAATCCCAGCACTTTGGGAGGCCGAGGGGGGTTTCTCGAGGTCTGGAGTTTGAGACCAGCCTGGCCAACATGGCGAAACCTTGTCTCTACTAAAAATACAAAAATTAGCCGGGTGTGGTGGCGCACACCTGTAATCCCAGCTACTTAGGAGGCTGTACTCCAGCTTGCGCAACAGGAGCGAGACTCTATCTCAAAAGGAAAAAAAAAAGAAAAGGCAGCAGACCCTAAGTGAACAAGGTGCTCATGGAATGAAGAGGGTGACAGCACACAACAATCCCACCCATTCCCCTGAACAAGACAAGGAACACCAAAGTCACTGCATGTACATCCCAGTTTTGTGGCCTGAATATAAACATGACCTGCTCTAAAGGAGAGTGTGCTCTGCAGCACCTCTGAGATCACAGGGGAGAAGAATCAAGAAATGCAGGAGCCACATGGGTAAGCAGAATGCTCTGCTAACAAGTAAGGCAAGGAAAGGCTGCCAGTGGCAGATGAGGGAAGATGGTGCTTTTGAGCAGCAAATCCAGGCAAATATGATAAATCACGCATCACAATCCATGACATTCATCAAGCTCTACCTCAACAGTGAAGACAGTTTAAAACCATGAGCTAGGGTGAAATAGACTCCAACACTGCCGCAGGGTTTCCCTAGCATGCCACTTGGTGGTTCCCATCATGCTGACATTACAGAAAGGGAGGTAGGGGGTAGCAGAGGCATTACAGAGTTCAGAAAATTATTTGTGAAACAGAGAACTTTTAGATAGCAACTTCAGGACTGATCCAGAAATCCTTCCTCTCCCGCTCCTCATTTATAGAAATTCTTGGGCAAGTTTATGGCATTTTTGGGAAATAATGATCCTGATGGCCCAAAGTGTGGCAGAAGGAGCAATGACTTTCTATACAAATGCTGGTCACACTCAGGCTGCCCAGTAGCTCCAGCCCTTCTGCCTTGTAACTCAATGTCCTTGAATTTATTTTTAAAATGGGAAGGCTAAACAAAGCTCCAAACAGTAGGAACTGATACACATCCTCCTCTTTACTGCACCAAACAATCATTTTCCAGTCTATGAAATTGATGGATGCCAGATACTCAATGCTAGGCTCATGGACATTTTAATAGGGAATATCTCAGTTTGGCCTTGAGAAAGAAGATGCAGCTATATTAAGCTGGAAAGATTAAGAAAGGTAGTCTGCTGAATAAAAATACTTACCTATTTGAGTTTCTAACAGAAACACAAAAGCTGAGAGCAGGTAGGATAAAGGCTGAGTGTTGATGGGGCAAGCTGGTGGTCAAGTTTCACAGGGCCCCCTGAATAACACTGACTTCTGGACGACACATTTGAGATAGCAGAATTTGATGAGATTTCCCCCATGTTTCTCCCTGACATGTTGCTGTTACTTTCAACAGATGCCATCTGTAAGATCCTTTGCCCCAAAATATCTTAGAAGCTTAAGTAAAGGCAAGAACTATTTTGCTTCCTTGCTCAGCATTCAAGAGAAGTATCAAACGCTGTTTAATATCTTACAGCTTTATTGCCACCCTATAGGGCCAACTAGTTTGCCAACCATAAAGCTGTAGGCCATTGGAAAATTTGTGCGGTTTCTATTAAAGACCTGAATTTCTCCATTTGGAAACCATGCTGGATGAGCTGTTGCTCTGCTCATGAAAAGAAATCACTAAATAAGAGCATGATGAGTGTCTCAAAACCCACTGGCAAAACAATAAAACACAGCAGCAGAATAAACATGGGAACGCAGGTAAAACATGGGAACGCTAAATTCCCAAAAATGGCTACCCTAAGAGCCCAACAGTAATTATGTGGTGCTTCCAGAAATTTCTTATTCTAGGAGCTCCATAGAGTTATTTCTGATACTGAGGAAGAACACAGGTCTGACCCAATCCCATCCCTTGAATACGTGCTCCCTGGCACACATTCTAGAATGCCCTGTACCCTCTACCCCCCAAACCCCCCACCTCAAGGGATTGACAGATCTTCCCCAAATGAAAATCAGTAATGAAACAGTTGTCCTTTACCAAAGGGGGCAATCAAGGACCCTCTGCGAATACCAGAATATCATGGATGCTCAAGTCTTTTATATAAAATGGTGTAATATTTGCATATAACCTATGCACATCTCTTGTATACTTTAAATCATCTCTAGATTACTTACAATACCTAACTCGATGCCTACACATCACTTCATTTGTGTGAATTCAATGTAGTATTCAGCATGTGGCAAATTCAACTTGCTTTTTGGAACTTTGTGGGTTTCCCCTCTTCCCCAAATATCAAATGTACCATTAGATGGGGAAAGAGAGACTAGAAAGCACATTCTGCTTTTTGACAAAGGACACTTTTGGGACCCATACGTCATGTAACAAGTAGGCTGAGGTCAGTTAATACAGACTGCTCATAGGGAAAGGACAGCAGCTAAAAACTCCAAGGTGATGTGCCTGATGGCCAATCCGGCTTAAGAGAAACTGCAGTGCACTATCTACCTCTGCGACTTCCATGTCCCAGGAGATGGCCCATTCACCAAGTGATGCAAGGATCCCTATGAGCAGGGCAGCAGGTTCACGAAAAGAGCCGGCCCACCCAGGGTACACCTTTTGTGTTCATTAGCACTGCTCTGGAGAAATGACATCTGGTGTTGGGATCTACACTGTATCGGGGGAAGATATAGGTGATCCATGCGAACACTGTCTGTTCGCAGAAAATATGGTCCATTATTGGAAATTTCATATGGGTCAATCTATATTAAGCTGGAAAAATAATCAGCCAGATGAAAAGGCCAGCCTGCTGTACCCGCTGGAGTTTACAACTGAAAAGCACAAGCTGAAAGAAGGCAGGATAAAGGTTAAGTAGGTGTAAGCCGTGGTCAAGTCCTACAAGGCCCACAGCAGTCTACATAGACCCTCTCTTCAGGCTGATGAAAGAGGGGGCCAGAGATAGCCAAGTGACTCTTGGGAAAACAATGGCAGTTTCGTTATAATTTTAAAAAGTGGTTCCTCTCTTCAGTCTACAAAATTAAAAGTAAAATTCTCTCAATTTAAGCTCTTCAAAAGCTTATGATTCAAAATATTCCATATAGGTGCTTTTACCTTCCCTGATCTTATTGGTTAGCTCCGACTGAATAGAGCGGCTCATTCATCTTTACTCCTGTGTAATCAATGTTTAACATCCTTTTTTCATGCAGCTAAATCCTCCTCTACTTCGTATCTGGGGAAAGAAGTGCATACTAATGTCTATGCTATCTGTAAATGCTACCAGAGACTCTTGCTAAAAGGTGATATATCCAGTATATCCTTAGAACCCAAGGAAACCAAAGAAACCTCAGCAGGACATTCCTCAACTGAGCCAGCAGGCTCATCTCGTCTTAAGGATGAAGACATCAGATTCAGCCCCCATGATTCAGGGACCACAGTAAACAAGGATGAATACCTCGGGTCAATGTATCCAAATGAGTACAGATGAAAGAAACCAAACAGTTCCATTGGAAAACCTCGAACACAGCGGCTGGGAAATGTTTGATGGCTTTGTTGTGAGATGGTAACTTTTTTTTCCTCCATTTTTAATTTTCTCCCTTCAAATCCAAACTGCAGCAATAGACACTGACAGCTCTAGCTTTAGACTTGATACATCATCAGGAAATCATTCCGAAAGCTCTAACTAGATAACTAATTTAATACACTTTGCTTCAAGGTTTATTCCTTGGCTTGCTTCCCAGATATAAAGCATCTCTGGGCAATTATTATGCAGATGCCACTGAAAGGACTTTAAATGGCTGCTGCTAATTTAATAGGAGATATGCTGGCATTTACTGGAGATGTGAAAAGGAATGCAAAATGTGCTAAAGAACCAAAGGCATTTGTTTTTAAAAGTGAAATATGTGGAACAACTCTTAAATGTTTTCTTTTGGGTTTCAATATAAACTTTGGCTAGAAAGTTGAATATTAAATCTACTTCCTCCCTGCATTTTGTACACTAATGAATATTCCCGTAGCATACGGCAGGGACAATGGATGAATTTCAAGAAAGCCCATGAGCTCTGATGTCCTCAAAGACACACCAGATCTATATGCTGTCCACATGAGACATTCTAACAGTGCCCACCTTGGGGCTTAGAGATAAAAGATAAATACTGATGTTGTTCATCATGCAATAAACCAGTAACTGAGACCACTTGCTAAAACATCCCTAACAGTAGAAATCCCAAGGATGGAAAAACCTCCAAGAAAAGGACAGAAATACCTTTTTGCTATTGATGAGCTTCTTATAATAAGGGTTATAAGCTCTGTTCCACTGAAAATACATGTAATACTAATGGTTTTCTTCCCAGGATATACGATGAAACTCTAGAATCTACAAAGATCAGCAGGTTATACTCCTTCACTGAGTCTTCAGACCTTGAAGCAGCAGACAGAGGGGAAGCCCTCCATCCCCAGATATTCTGAGTCTAACTACAGAGTACAGCCACCACAACACCTGGCCAGGTTGAAAAGAGGATTCGTATTCCAAAGAACTTAATGGGGAATATGCAACCTGTTGGCATGTGGTGATGGGATGTCACAAAGGTCTACTTTTTCTGGTTGATTTGATGCCACTCCTTCATCTTTTTAGCTCGGGGGGACAAAAGCAGCAATGAAGAAAGGCATATGGAACTCTCACAGCAGTCAACTCTAAGAAAAAAACCCCTGCAATTAAATTTTCCTTTCTACTACATGTAGTTTTCCTTGACAACCTTTTTTCCTTTTTTTTGGAGGCAGGGTCTCTCTGTAGCCCAGGCTGGACTGCAGTGGCAAGATCATGGCTCACTGCAGTCTCAAATTCTTTGAATGAGGTGATCCCCCGGCCTCAGCCTCCTGAGCAGCTGGGACTACAAGGGCAAACCACCACGCCTGGCTAATTTTTGTACTTTTTGTAGAGACGGGGTTTCATCATGTTGCTCAGGCTGGTCTTGAACTCCTTAGCTCAAGCAATCTGCCCGCCTTGGCCTTTCAAAGTGCTGGGATTTACAGGTGTGAACCACCGTGCCTAGTTGACTACAGTTTTTAAATTGCAGGTTTGTTCTTTGCACTGATCACTGTGGGCGTTCCATATGCCTTCCTCCACTGCTGCCTTTTCCCCGAGCTGAAAAGACAAGGAAGATGTGGCATCAAATCAACCAGGAAGAGCACGCCCTCTGACTTCCTATCACCACGTAACAACATATCAAATTGTACTCAAGAAAAAGGTGCATATCAAAGTTGTACTCAAGAAAAAGTAGACATAGAATGATAAATCCCCCAAAATGCAGTAAGAGGAAAAATGTACAAAACATGATTTATTGTGTACCAACCTTGGAAATTCAGAAGGACACTGACCAATGAAGCCACAGGAAGAAACTAAGAACTGGGCTTCCAAGTGAAGACAACTGACCAGACAGTGGATTTTATGAAGAAAAGGAAAGCAGCACAGGGTTTTGCCAATGACAATTCTACAATTCTACCATCGTTCATCAAGTGGCCCCAAGTTTGGACTATGGGGTCCTGAGTAGGATTAATTCTGATCTTGCAGGCCAAAGCCTGAAGATGATACCAGCACAGTGGGGGTCAAATTTGATGTGTTTCCTGGCCAGGACCCCTGTTATGTAGCTAAATGCCATATAGTTCCCATAAATCAGCTTCCCCATCTGTTTCCTTGATGACCTTTCCAATGACTTAGTGACCTCAACTTTCGGGTCTCTGTCCAGCACACACATCTCATGTAAATAAAAAACAATGATCATCAAGGCCCTGCCTGAACAACACAATCCTCAAAGGCCCTGCCCAACTCCTTTCACTTTCTAGGTCTGCTATTCTCTCTCAATCAGGATAGAGTCTTAACTGCACAGATGGCCTGGTCCAGAGCCTCAATGCCACCAGACAGGGTCCTACTGAGCAAACGGGAGAGGTAGCAACAAATACCCAGGGTACAGTCCCCAGCAGGGAAACACAAACTCCAGAGCCCAGAATAAGGGGTGGTCAAGCAAAGTGCAACACAGAGCTTCTCTTTCGGCCCCAAAGATGGCAGTTACTGCACTGTAAAGGCAGCACTGTCTTTAGCTGTTCTGTCTTTAACTCAAGCTTGGGGGGAAGTTGGTGGGGGAGGTGTTGGGGAGAGGAGATTACTGAGGATGAGGGGCAGAAATGAGGAAGAGAGGAAACTGTCTATCAAGGCTCATGAGTCCCAAAATATAAGAGAATCGTGCTTGTTCCTTCAGACCCTTTTCTTTATATTTCAGGATGAATTATTTTTCTTACCATCTTTGCTTTGGATATAAGTAATGAATGATGAATGAATTAAGCTGATGAATTTCAGGGCTGGTTACAAATCCGGCTGCAACTTCACAAGAGATGTGCTCCCTCATGCCTCTGTCCCCAAAATGATCCAGCAGGCAACCTTACCTACTGACATATATATGCAGATCAGTCAAAATGTGGTTCGAATGAAAAGTACTATATTATTAAGAAAACTGCATTATAATAATTCACAAAAGTTATTCCAAAGGGGAAAAAAATAAATTATCTCATATAAAATAATACACGGCATGTGTGAATAATCTTGGCTATTATCTTCAGAGAGCCTGCTTGCTGCCAGCCACCTGCACCCCCGCGGGGGGAGCAGATGTTGTCTGGAGGTGACTCTCCTGCACGATCCAGCTGGGTCCCTCCTCCAGGAGCTGGACTGGGGGGATTAAATGAGTCTGGAGTTTTGGAGGAACTGGATGAGGACTTGGTAGACAAACTTGTACTGAGCGATGGTCTGGATCATGAACATCCTCTGCTCCCTGAGGAGCCTCAGCATCATGGGCACTTCCACCTTCTGCAAGAAAAGAGAGAAAGCACAAGGTCCTGAGACAGGAGGCTTCCCTTAGAGCATTCCTCATTCCCTCATTCAGGAAGCACTCACCCACTGCCCATGCCCAGGTATAAGAGAAAGCAAGGGACCCTGCCCCGGCTGGGTTTTACGTGTCAAACAGTTTATACCAGCAACTGGAGAACCTGGTCATCATGTGTCACTGGTGGAATATTTTATTTTTATTTAATTTCAAATTTTCTGAGAGGGTCTTGCTGTGTCACCCAGGCTGGAATGCAGTGGCACAGTCATAGTTCACTGCAGCCTTCAACTCCTGGGCTCAAGCAGTCCTCCTACCTGAGTCTCCCAAAGTGCTGGGGTTACAGGCGTGGGCCACCACACCTGTCCTGGTGTATTATTTTAAATACAGACTAGTCTGCTGGATAAAACATAAAGGCTGGAGTGAGACCTGACTGGTACTCTCAACTCCACCACAACCCAATGACAGGATTTAAGACATCTCAGGGTCTTAGTTTCCTCATCTGTAAAATCAGGATAATAATGCTTTCCTCTAACAGCAGTGTGGCCTTGCCCTAGTTAGTGACATTTCCTCAGCAATAACATGGGGTATGAAATAACATCTGCCTCATGGGATCAAATGATGAAACACATATCAAGCACTTAGTGCACAGTGAGTGCTTAATAAATATTACTCATTATTCCTTTTTTTTTTTTGAGACAGAGTTTCACTCTTGTTGCCCAGGCTGGAGGTTAGTGGTATGATCTCGGCTCACTGCAACCTCTGCCTCCCAGGTTCAAGAGAGTCTCCTGCCTCAGCCCCCAGAGTAGCTGGGATTACAGGTGTGCACCACCACGCCTGGCTAATTTTTTGTAATTTTAGTAGAGACAGGGTTTCATCATGTTGGCCAGGGTGGTCCTGAACTCCTGACCTCTGGTGATCCACCTGCTTTGGCCTCCCAAAGTGCTGGGATTACAGGCGTGAGCCACCGCGCCTGGCTTCATTATTCCTTTATTAACATTAATAAATGTTGCTAATGCAATTATAATCTCACAGGACTGTGGTCATGATCAAGTGAGATAATTTAAGTGTGAACCTTTAAAATGTCAAAGCACCATTTCTGAACACCAGTCCTACTTGGAGTAAAAGCCTTTAACTGAGAACTTTTTTTTTTTTTTTTTTTTGAGACGGAGTCTCCCTCTGTTGCCCAGGCTGGAATGCAGTGGCTTGATCTCTGCTCACTGCAACCTCTGCCTCCCAGGTTCAAGCGATTCTCCTGCCTCAGCCTTCTGAGTTGCTGGGATTACAGGCACGCGCCACCACGCCGGGCTAATTTTTTTTTTTTAATTATTTTTAGTAGAGATGAGGTTTCAGCATGTTGGTCAGGCTGGTCTCAAACTCCTGACCTCATGATCCGCCCACCTCGGCCTCCCAAAGTGCTGGGATTACAGGCATGAGCCACGGTGCCTGGCCGAGAACACCTTTTTTGAGACAGGGTCTTGATCTGTCGCCCAGGCTAGAGTGCAGTGGTGCAATCGTAACTCATTGCAACATCAACCTCCTAGGCTCAAGCAATCCTCCCACTTCAGCCTCCTGAGTAGCTGGAACTATAGATGTGGCACACCACACCTGGCTAATTTTTAAAATTTTGTGTAGAAACGAGGTCTCACTGTGTTGCCCAGGCTGGTCTCAAACTCCTGAGCTCAAGCAATCCTCCAGCTTTGGCCTCTATGTGCCTGGCCCTGAGTCTTAAATGAGAACATTTTGAGTATTAAATGAGATTGCCTATGTGTGAATTATTTGATAGTATATACAATGATATATATTATCATTAATGAAAGGAAATTAATACAGTGTCATGGATACTTGAGCAGACCAGAGGCCATCACAGTGTCCTCTCCCCTCACCTTCACCACGTCCATCCTCCTGGACCAGCCAGGACACATACGGCTGGAGCACCCCCGAGCTGTGGAGGCCATGGTGGCCTCAGCACACTCACTGTGCTCTGGGAGCTTTTAACCCCGGGCAAATGATGGCACCCAGGAAGTTTTCAAGGGCTAAGCAAGTGTTTAAAAGAAAATAATAAAAACTCAGCTGTATGCTTGACTTTGTAACCTTTGAACCTTGAAAAATAATTTCAGCTATTTCCAAACTGTGTATAGTTATGACATGACACGTGCCATCAGTCACTCTTGTTCAACACCAACTAAGGAATGCACATCACAAACTTGTGACGTAGCCTGGGCTAGAGTGCAGTGGTGTAATCACAGTGGTGCAAACGGACACAGTCAAGTCCCTGCCTAGTAAGAAAAGAAAAAAAAGGCATGTGAATCTTCGAACTATGAATCAAAATACAGAATCTAGGTTATAAGCTTCTGATGGTAACAAGTAGGTCTCTGCCTAAATTATATTGCAAAGTGACCAGTATCATGAGATGTGATCTAGAGCCACCTAATAATGAACTTAATTTCATGTTTGATGAGGATTACTCTGTGGTTGGGCACTGAAGTTAAAAGAATAGAGAGAATAAGGCTGTTCCGCTCCCCTGCCCAGCAAAGGTTTTAGTCGGGAGGCAGGATCACACTGGTGTTCAGAGCACAGGCTCTAAGTAAGGCTTCATCTGCTGAATCTCAGCTCTACCACTTCTTGGCTGTGGGAAGCGGGCACATTACTTCATTTACCTATGACTCAGTTTCTCTTCTGTTATGTAAGGATACTGACATGGTCTTGGCTCTGTGTCTCCACCCAAATCTCATGTGGAATGGTAATCTCCAGTTTTGGGGGAGGGACCTGGTGGGAGGTGACTGGAACATGGGGGCAGATTTCCCTCTTGCTGTTCTTGTGACAGGGAATTCTCATGAGATCTGGTTGTTTAAAAGTATGTTTTAACTTCCCCCTTTGCTCTCTCTCTTCTGCTATCATGTGAAGACATGCTTACTTCCCCTTCACCTTTCCACTATGATTGTAAGTTTCCTGAGGCCTCCCGGCCATGCTTCCTGTACAGCCTGCAGAATTGTGAGTCAACTAAACCTCTTTCCTTCATAAATGACCCAGTCTCAGGTAGTTCTTTATAGCAGTGTGAGCATGGACTAATACAGGTACTAACAGGACTTGGTGCACAGTGTCACTGCAAAGGCTACTTGTGTTAATACTATAAGGCTTTAGAATAGTGTGTATACATGGCAAACACTAGACACAAGCTAGCTGTTAAGATATTATTTTCAATGTTGTCACCATCACCACCTCCTCCACCACCACATCCTCCTCCTCCTCCTCTACCATCATCCCCATCTCAATTACCTGTAGGACCGAGCCTAAATGACAGTATATTGTCTGATATGGAGAAGTCTGGGGACATGACAAAGAAAGTTCTCCTGGTCTTCAATGAAAGGGTCCCAGCTGGCTTAAAGATTCATTCACTCCCACAGGCTCTGCTCTTAACTGTCCCCAAGCCAAGGAAGCACAAAGCAGTTGACACTTGCTCAGTCTTGTCTAGAAGACATTTTCTCCTCCTCACTTTATGAAGGAGGTATAACTTATTCAGAAAAGCAGCAAGATCAAGACATCTGCCCTTTTGGCTACTGAGATCCTAAGTTTTTGTAATTAGCTGTAGCTGGAACCAGACAGCTACATCCAGAGGACTGAGAGAGTGTACTGCAGACCATAAAACGAATGCTTTCTGAAAAACTCTATGCACCTTAAAATGTCTCAGCTAACACTCAGTGACCAAAAGCACTGGGCCACAGGGAGGCTTCCCAGAGCAGCCTGGGACAGTTGTCCCCACTCCCCACCGCACAGCTACCAACCTCATTGTAAGTGTCTGCGTTTCATTGTTTCTGCTCAACTTTTCTGTGTTTAGAATAAGACTGAGAGGGACAAGTCCAGGAAAAAGAAAGGTCGTTTCACTGACAGAATTAAAACTGCAAGAATTACAGACTAAAATATAAAGTATGTTAAATCCAGAAGCTGTGGAAAGAAGGCAGGAGAGTTTGGACAGGAGAAAAATGGGACCCACAATTTAATATATATTTGTTAAAATCTTTGCTTGAAAAACAAACAAACTAAACATGGTCTACTCTTCTCCTGAAATAGGGGCTTGGATCTTACTAGCCAGGCCTGAAACAGTATCAGAACAAAAGTAGAGCATTTTTTCCCCCAACCATCTACCAATAGCAACCATGGGAAATAGGACAGATAAGACTGGCTATATTTGTGCTAGGGGAAGTGAAGTGAAGAATATGAGTCATCTTGCTATCTTTGAATATCAATGGGAACAGAAGTTCTTTTTGGATTGACCACGTCCCAGCAAAGAATGTTCTGGCATGCAGTTGGGCACTGAGGAAATCCGCTATGTTTGGACACACCATAGAGCATTTAACCATTCTGAGCCTTCACCAAGTCCACAGGAGGCCACAATGGCCAAATCCCTCACTCCAAACCGTTCTGGCTTTGATATGCCTTGTCTGTGCTCTGCTGGTCCAATAACATCTGGTGTTCAGTGAGCCCCCATGTCATAGCCTCACTGAGGCTCAGCCTTTGACGGGTCTCCAAAGAGCTCAGAATAGTTTTTAATGTCAGACAAGACAGAATGGCTTCTTGAGTTGAAAAGGGGAAGTGGGGAGCAGAGCACAGGGAACGGGGAAAGAAGGGGAGTGGCCAGGCTCACAGCTGTAATCCCATCAACTCGGGAGACCGAGGTGGGAGGATTGCTTGAGCCCAGGAGTTTGAGACCAGCTTGGGCAACACAGCAAAATCCTTTCTCAAAAAAAAAAGAAAAAAAAAGAAAACAAGCGGGGAATTTGGTGACAAAAGTGATATGAAGGGAAGGAAAGGACAATTAGGTGGGGGAGGTGATGATGAGGCCCTCAAGCCATGCACACACTGATTCTACCTCATCTTATTTTGTCTTCCTAGCGATGGATGGATTGAGACTCCGTGGGCAGGTTACTCATTGTTCTAGAAATTTCTAGAGACCTCTAGTAGTGAGAGGAATAGAGAGGCGAACAATAAAAAAATCCTATGTGGACAAAATGGTACAAACTCAGAGGGCAATGACATTTCTGTTATGTAGTCTCAACTGATTCCATGATGAGCATTTCGCTCAAGCTTTGTTTTATGTTTTTCTAACATTAGGCTACAGTTCGGATTGCCCCTTTTCCAATTTTTAGCGGCACAAACATTCATTCCCATGGACAGACTAGAAGATTCTCAAAATTATCATTTCACAGGCAGAAAGTTTAATGTCTAAGTTTAGCATTTGTTGTTTTCCTGGAAGACTCAATATGACAAACTTCATATTTAATCTGATTTTCAAACGATTCATGCTATTGAATAAATAGTATATTATCATATAAATTCCTCCACAGAATTGCAACAAATCATTCTATAATTTAAGAACTACCAAACCACAAGTTTCCTTTACTTTTTCAAGCCATATAATTTGAAAACTGAGTAAGAACCAAATCTTATACAGCGTTTGGAGGCAGAGTGAAGACAGGAAATAACTCCGGACTCAGACACAGAAGGCCTTGCTTCTGGCTTCAGTACCACTGCGTAAGAGCCACACGGCACTAGACGAATCACATAATTACTTCCGGGCCTCAGTTTCCTCTTCTGTGAAACAGGAGGAGTGACATGTGCATGGCTCCTCTACTTGGCTGGTATGGCAGGCAAAAGCCCTTAAAAATTCTAATGTCCCAGGTAGCTAGAAGGTAGAAGAACTATTCCTTAGCTTTTGACTGCTGTTTGTCTCACCTACACAAAATTCAAAGTCTCTCAGTGTAACTCCGTAATCCTACAGCAGCAAAGGGATGCCATGTACCTTGTGTGCACAGGCTCAGCAGCACCCCACTTCTGCAGGAAGAAGGGGTAGGGCGATCAGCCGATGCAAAGACGGGGATGTTTGCATGCTCTAAGTATCTCCTCTGCTCCGCTACACCACACAACTACCAGACTAGATAAGCAAACAATCCCCCAAACCTCACTCTGAAGAATGAAAAACATTTTCCAAGTAGACACATCTTCACCTAGGATTTATGCCAGAACACATCCTAGAAATGCAAGACGCATCTAAACTATATGGGGTCAAATAACTCACCATGGAAAATTACCCACAATGAAACCAGGCTATCTGCAAAATGCCAAAGACTTCTGGAAGTAGATGCCGACTAAGATCACATTTTCTAAGTGTTTTCTATTGCACGCCCTCATTTCTCCTCTTTTATCTGGATATCTACATGGAGCAGTGGGAGGGCAAAAAGATAAGGAGAATTGTAAATGTCAGAGTCAAACTAGGAACCAGGAGCCTGGAAAACTCTGGTCGGGAGAGAGGAAATTAACCACTGAAAAGGCAAGGGTGCGGGCAAAGGTTTGGCAAGGGTGTAGACTTGTCCCCAAGGTGGAGTATCCGGAGAGAAGCCCAGAATGACTCACTTCGTTATGCTCCAAGCAGTAGATCATCAGCTCAGAAAGAATGAGCACGCCGGTCCTTCCCACCCCAGCACTACAGTGGACCACGATGGGTGGGTGCCGGTTCTTGGTGCCTTCCAGCATGCTGTTGGTATGGCGACGGACCGACTGGATCTCCTCCAAGTAGGCTGCAGGACAAAACGCAAATTCTGTCACCAAAGTCCTCCATGGCTTTGCATATAAGTTGGGGAGGGGGGAGCGGAAGAGAACTGATGGTGAATGTGTGTGTGTGTGTTTTTTTAAGTGACAATAATTTACAGTTCTTACAAGATACTAATTATTTGGCTGGTACCCAATGTACAGTCCTGGATCCAGAAAGGACCAGCTGGGAGTCAATTAGTTCATGGGAGAATTTGTTCTTTAAATTAAATAGTTCTTTTTTAAAAATTAAATTCTGTTTTCCCCTCTGCAAATCCCTAAGTCCCCCAAGCAGATGATTCTAGACATTACTTACAGCAATTCCTGCTATTAACAGACTGGGATCAGAACAACTGCTAAGTCCCCTTGAAACGCCCGCCTGTCAGAGCCAATTTCTGGTAGGGAGAGAGCATCCATCTGCCCCTTCTTCCTTCCCCTCACTGATGAGTGAATGTCAACTGAGGCTTGACTTCATTTTTGGATGTTAAAGTAGACTTTGGGGAGTCTGCTTTTCAGCATGGATTCCACGGGGCTATGTGAGTAGCCCAAGATGAACCCCCTTTCTGGAGGCAATATGTGTGTGAGGTGGAGGGGGTCATGATGCCCCCCATGCCTTCTAGCACCTGCTTGGCTCAGCAGGCCTGTACAGGGAGGGCTGTGTTCATGACTCCAACTGGGCACAAAAGAAAAATCACAGGATTCCAAGCCTTAATGACTTTTTTCACAACCATGACAAAAGAGAAAAGTATAGAAATGTAATCCTCAGACACTCCAAAAACCCCCAAAATTTAATTAATAATTTAGATTTTGTAGTAGCTCAGGAGAGAAACAGATTTAAAGGTTCTTGATACTCAGTGAACCTCATCCCAAAGCAAAAGTGTAAACCAGACTATAGGGGAAATGTTTACATTGTTGAAGAGAAAAAAGTAGGTTTGAACCATTCAAATAATTTCAAAGCACCTGTTTACAGACATATATAAATAACCCGCACTTTCCTTTATAATCTTACCTAATTACAAAATAATCTGAAGTAGTTTACCAAAAAAGTAAACTATTATTATCACTACTACTACTACTAGGATGATGATGACTAGTAATAGTTATTAGTACTAGTCAGAGCAGTACTAGTAGTAGTAGTAATGTACCAAGAGATAGGACAAAACAAAAAAGAAGGGCCGGGCGCGGTGGCTCGTTCCTGTAATCCCAGCACTTTAGGACGCTGAGGCAGGCGGATCACCTGAGGTCAGGAGTTCAGGACCAGCCTCACCAAGATGATGAACTCCTGTCTCTACTAAAAATACAAAAATTAGCCAGACATGGTGGCATGCGCCTGTAATCTCAGCTAGTACTCCTAGCTACTCGGAAGGCTGAGACAGGAGAATTGCTTAAAACTGGGAGGCGGAGGTTGCAGTGAGCCGAGATCCCACCATTGCACCCCAGCCTGGGCAACAAGAGCAAAACTCCGTCTCAATTTAAAAAAAAAAAAAAAAGGAGATGGTGAGATGAATAGAGGGAGTAGTTACTATTAGGTACCAATACAAGCTAGATTTTGTGTGTGGAATCTTCTTTACACTTTTTCTGCGAGGGGGAAAAGACGTTAGGCAACTGAGTATTCTGTCTGACCAAAGGCAATATTTACATACAAGAGACAAAGCTTTACTTGAGCTAAATTTAAGAAGAAAAATAAAAGGAATGTTGGGTAATACAGTAGATGCCACTTTCAAATAGAGCTTTTCATGTAATGGAGAGGTGGATTTAAAGGATGTTTCCTCTATCAGTCATATTACTAAAGTTCCTTACGCCGTAACTCAGTAAAGACTTCTGGAGGGCAGTAAACAATTTGGCTTAGGTACTCTGCATCCAGGTAACCTAATTTAAACACGGGCAAAAAAATCTTTTAAAACCTAGGAGAAACAGATTCAACATTTCTAATGCCCTGCACAGAATACGTGTATTGAGTTTCCTAAAAGCATAATACATACATTTACATTCTTTAAAACTACTATGTATTTTTTGGTAATTTAGACGGGCTTTCCTTAATTGGTTCTGATTTAAAAGGCTATTCTTTAAAGTGCTTTATAAGCTCACTCTTTCATCAGAGCTGTTAGCCAATCAACAAACTGATCTACTTATATTATTTCCCTTTTCTGCTTCTTGGAGAAAATTTTAATCAGTCAGTTAGCACGTGATCAGCTGAAAGAAATACGATGAGCACTGCTGGGAGGAAGGGAAGTTCTGCAAAGGTCACTGCCCTTATTTCAAGCTACAGATAACAAGCCATTTGACCTCAGGCAAATCACGAATCCTCTCTGGATCTTACTCTAGATCCTCTGACTCCAATCATCTTTCTACTCTCTGCTTTCAGTGCCAAACCCCTCAAGTACCATCGTCACTTTCACGGAAATGAAATGCTTGTATTGCTGGATAAGTACACATCAGAATATTTACTGGAACTTGTAAATCAGTATTTTTAGGTCTTGAGAACCTGTTCTCTCTCTCTCATTCCCTTTTTCTCCCATTCTAAATGAATACCAAAATAAAATCAAGGTTTTGACATTATCCAACATCTGGATGATGGTCCCTTTGTGATGGTCACAGGTCTTCCACTAGCTACAGAGTCAACAACAGAGCAGGCACAAGGCTACAGGGAGCATCTGGGGCTCCTTTCCAGTTGGATGAGTAAGGAATGGGGTTTCCCGACAAGCACAGGACAGTTAGGCAAGCATGTGGAAAGAGGGAGAGCTGCAGCCACCACTGAAAAGCAGAGGAGGGTATCAGATCTCATCTTTGGATGATGATGACTGGCCTGTCTTTCCCATTAGGCTCTGAGTACCTTGAAAGTGAAGACTGAACTCTGTCATCTCTGCATTCTCAGAGCCCGATCCAGTGCCTGGCATGTAGTGGGTACATGGCCAATTTGGGGCCGTTCAAATAAAAATACTGCACATAATCTGGTGAATTAGTTTCTAATATAACCACATTCTAAAAATACACATACATAGAAATTAATTAATTAGCCATTGAGCAAATTTCAGTTTCGAAAGCTACAAGAGGGTTTCAATACTTCTTAGTGTCTTCATAAAAATATGAGAAAGTACGAGAAAGTACTGAGATTTACGACTGTAGGGAAATATAGGGCTTGTGAGATGCAAACCTTCATGAAAAAAATTTTAATGTTATTCACTTATTTATATCTTTATTTATTTATTTATTTATTTATGAGATGGAGTTTCGCTCTTGTTGCCCAGACTGGAGTGCAATGATGCAATCTCGGTTCACTGCAACCTCCGCCTCCCAGGTTCAAGCGATTTTCCTGCCTCAGCCTCCCCAGTAGCTGGGATTACAGACATGCGCCACCACATCTGGTTAATTTTGTATTTTTAGTAGAGATGGGGTTTCACCCTGTTGGCCACACTGGTCTCAAACTCCTCACCTCAGGTGATCCACCCACCTCGGCCTCCCAAATTGCTGGGATTACAGGTGTGAGCCACCATGCCTGGCCTATTTTTAAATTTTATTTCTCCTTTTTTTTAATGTGCCAAAGTGGACACAACAATTTACCAGTTTAACCATTTTTAAGTACACAGTTCAGTGGCATTAAGCATATTCATAGTTGTGCAACCATCACCATCATCCATGTCCAGTACTTTTTCACTGTCCCAAACAGAAATACTGCACCTATCAAATGGTAATTCCTGGCTAGGCACGGTGGCTCACACCTGTAATCCCTGCAATCTGGGAGGCTGACACGGGCAGATCACTTGAGGCCAGGAGTTCAAGACTAGCCTGGCCAACATGGTGAAACCCCATCTCTACTAAAAATACAAAAATTAGGTAGACGTGGTGGCTGCGCCTGTAGTCCCAGCTACGTGGGAGGCTGAGGCAGGAGAATTGCTTGAACCTGGGAGGCAGAGGCTGCAGTGAGCTGAGATCGTGCCACTGCACTCTAGCCTGGATGACAGAGTGAGACTCCACCTCAAAAAATAAAAAATGTGTAATTCCCGAATCCCCCTTTGCTGCAACCCCGGTAACCTCTCACCTACTTTCTGCCTCTGACCTTGCCTATTCTAGGTACCTCATATAAGTGGAATCATGCAATTTTCGTCCTTTTGTGACTGGATTATCTCCACTCAGCATCATTCCTCAAGGTTCATCCTTGTTGTAGCATGTGTCAGAACAGTTACCGATTAAATGAGTAGCTAAAGGTCTGAATCAAGGTAGAGCCAATATGTTGATCACAGTCTTAGCTTATGCGTTTGAAAGGCAAACAGAATAAGTGACATGTATTATTCTTCTCTGTTCTACACAATAAGAAAGGAACATATATTTCAATATTATAATACTTTTGCTACTTAAGAGAAAGCATCCTCTTTTTCCATTTCATCTCCAACGGCTGGATTATTGACACAGTAGGTAAAAGTCAGTCAGGTAGCAGACTGGGAAGAAAAACACTTACATAAAAATCCTTGGACGTCCTCTGGACAGCCGTGATCTGGCCAGTCAGTATATTGTAAATGCCACACTGTCCTTTCTTGCCCAGACAAAAGGTGCTTGACTTTCAAGCCTGTGGTTGCATAGCAAACAGAATCTGTTCGAAACTTCGTGGTCACCTTGAACTTGCCATAGGTGGCTGAGCTGTGCTTGGAACCCAGTTTGGGCCAGTATCGGTGGCTTTTGGTTCGTCCACCCTCCTAAATCACATATAAAGCAAAATTGGAAATAGGTCAAGGGAAGCTCTCATCCTTTTAATCCTAAGATGTGAAGACAGAAGAAAATGCAAATAGCTTCTAAATCGCTAGTTCAGTAGCACTCTGCAGTGTCTACACTGTACAGGGTAAATCCTATACATGCTAGTTAAGACCAATAACACAATTTACAATGACAGTTACATCAATGGAAAATTTAAAAGATTCACAACGGAGGTGCAGTGGAATGTTAGAGAGAAGTGCAAGTGCAAAGTCTAGAAGCAGGAACAAGCTTGGTGCATTCAAGAAATGAAGGTCTTCGGGGTGGCTGGAGTGTGACATGTGAGGGGGCAGGTGGTCGGACAGGAAACTGGAAAGGCCTCACAGTCCATGGTGGAAAGTTTGGATTTCACCCCAGGGGCAATGGGAAGTCATTCAAAGGTTTTACACAAGTGGGGAAGGGGTTCCAGCAATCGCTCTAGGTCATGCTACTCCTTTTGGATGTTCAGTGCAGAGCTCTTTCTGTTACAGCACAGACTACCGACATTGTCTTTATCTAGTGTTGATCTCACATTTGTTTCAGTCTGACCAATGCGTTCTGGTTCCATCTACAACTAGAACTGAGAACAGCTGGTTAAATCACCATTCTTTCTCCCTTGATTTTATAATCTTTTCTGAGAATATGTACTCTCAACCATTTACACAAGGTCTATGTTTCAGTTTTGCAGTTTTAAAATCCCTGGAGAAGGGGCGGAGTGTGGAGGAGGCGGTAGCTGAGGAGATTCAGGGCAAGGAGTAGGCGGTGAGAGAGAAGGAGCACTGAACACACAGAGCTGCAGTGGTGACAGGCTCTGGGAACCCTGACGGCTGTTTAGAGGAATATTAGAGTTCCTCTTGTAAAGCCCACTTGTAAAGCAACACATCTTTGGGGAATATATAAATTATATATTTATATATAATTTGGGGAATATATAAATTACCTTGCCTGGCTTCATTTGGTTTAACTGAGTCTCCTTAAGTTGGAAGCACACCTTCCTCTTTTATTTACCAATCGTATGAAAGCAGATTTACCTCGAATTTACATTTCTGCTGAGTGTCTAAATCAGTTATGGATTTTAAAAGGCTGTAAGTCCCCAGCTGTCCCACAGATCACTAGATGCTACTTTGTCTTGGCAAGGCTGGCCCTTTGTTACTCCGGTCTCACCTCCAATGCCACTTCCTCGGAGGGTCCTTGGCCATGCCCTGATCTCAAATAGCCCCCGGTCACTCTCTTTCTTAACCTGTTTTCCATTTTTAAAAATTTTCTCCCTTGAATTTATGCTCCTATTAATAAGGTTTTCATTTCCAGCCTTCCAGCAAGTGTGTGACATGATAGAGAGCCTGGACCTCAGGGTTGCACATCGTGAAGCTACCCTTTAGTAGGAGTCCCCTAGTTTGAATGACCGTTTTGCGGCTGAAACCCACACAAAGAGGAGGAGGGATGAGGCAGGAAGACCTGTACTCACCCCGACCCGCTCTGGACTGTAGTTTTCCATTTTTGCCATGGCACTTACTGCTAACTGCACTTATTTTATTTGTTCACTTCTGAATGTCCCTCCCACTAGGACATAAGCTCTATGGGGACAGCGATGGTGCCTGTCTCGTTTATTACCATGTACTCCTGAAGTTAGCACAGATGGTACGCTGTATTTGGGTGAATGAATGCCTTGCAGTGGTGTGATCTGATAAGGTGATAAATCTATTCTAGAAGCTTTAAGGAGGATTCATTCTCTTTGTGGGAAGGTCAAACAGGTCAGCCCAGGGAAGTACAACTGGCTTTAAAGAGCCTGATGTCCCTTTCATTATTTTCTTCTAATGGACTGTGCTGAAAAGCCAATGCTCAAAACAGTCAATGAAGAAAAATACGACTTTTTCCTCCCCAGTTTTCTTTGTTCCTGACCCCTTTAACGTAGCTAGGAAAGGCCATTGCAATACCACGGATATTGGTAAACACAGATGAAACTAGTCCCTTGAATGATTTCAAAACATAAACTGGAATTTAATGAAAGAAATAAAAGAAGGTGGTTAAAGAAATTTTGAGAATGTGACAAGAGAAGAAACACAACACTTCTCCCTGCAAAGACAGCAAGCTGAACACTGACTGGATGGACTGGCAGTGTAGGCTGGTTTTTTATAACATCACATAGAGTTCTCTAGTTACAGCAGAAAAACTATGTTTGGCTTGGCAAAAGAAGAAAAAGATATTTTTTTCTTCCACCAAAGAACAGAGGCCTCTCCAGGAACAACAGCTTCTGGTCTCTTTTCAGCTGATAAGCATGGTGGCATGCGGAGCTGGGTGCCTGGAGTTGGGCATCTATGTCGATTTGCCCAGAGCAGCCTGAGACTCCCAAATTCCAGTGGAAAGATCACTGTTTTCGTTTGGTACACAAAGTCAGCGGGTTGAACTAAAGTCTGGTCATTTTTGGTTTTCTGTTGTTTTATTTTCAGTTTAGTGCATTACAATCCAAGGAAAAGAGTTAAAAGCAAGAAGAAAATGGGAGGAGGGAAAACTACAACAATCAATTATCTCCGGGGGAAAAATATCTAGCTGGAAGTAAGAAAACAGATGTATACCAAAGAGAAAAGCATTTGCAGAGAAACAGCACTGCAGGAAGAAGGATAGTGTAGCAAAGTTGCCAGCACAAAGCCCATCTTCTGGCCACCCTTTCCCTAGGGAAAAGGACGTGGAGTAGGCCATACTCCTTACCTCCTCTGCGGTGACCATGGCAATGACATTCACTCCTTGCTCCCACACCATCTGCCAGAAGTCGTGGCACGTGTGTGGTAGGGGCCCCTGGGTGGCTATGTAGTGCCATTCTGCCCCTCCAACCACCACCTAAAAACCAAGAAAAGTATCGGTAAATAAACCCCAAGTCGAGGACAACATTACCTGCTCATCACCTGTCCATCTGTATCCACCTTAAAACTTTGGATCTATTTTTGGGGCCAAATGAATTAGTTCAATTAACAAAATCCCTGAGACTATAGAGGCTAGTGTAGTGACACATTCTCACATGAAAATATTTTCTGCCACTCAAGCCTATTAAAACATTTACCTAATCCTGGTTTTTGAGACTGAGTCTTGCTCTCTTGCCCAGGCAGGAGTGCAGTGGCACGATCTTGGCTCACTGAATCCTATGCCTCCCGGGTTCAAGCAATTCTCCCGTCTCAGACTCCCAAGGAGCTGGGGCTACAGGCACCCACCATCATGCCCAGCTAATTTTTGTATTTTTCTAGAGATGGAATTTCACCATGTTGGCCAGGCTGGTCTTGAACTCCTGACTTCAGGTGATCCGCCCATCTCAGCCTCCCAAAGTGCTGGGATTACAGGTCTGAGCCATTGCGCCTGGCCTTTACCTGATCTTTGTTTGTAACTCACAGTATATGCAAACTAGTGCCTATTAAAAACCATACACATACACACACGTATATATGCATACATATGAACATGTATAACTTAGGATTTGTCACAGAAATAATAGTTATGCTTACTATGTGCAATGTACTCTGACACTTTCCATTCTTTTCTCTTGTCTATTTCATTAAAACACACACAGACACACACACACACATACACACACACACACACACGGTCATGACCACTAAACTGATTTCACATTCTACCACTGTGTTGTAATCCAGTTTGAAAAACAGTGCTTCATGGTATCCAATTAAACAATTAAAAAAAAAAAAAAAAAAGGCCATGAAACAACATCCCTTTTGGAGCACTATCTTTCTCCTGTGGATCTGAGATGAAGTATATCATAAACGTCGCTGTCACTGCTGCTCTGTGGTGCCATGCACGGCAGAGATGCTACGAATGCTCTTGTCAACAGCATATAATATTTTATCAATAACTTCAACTTGGTAGTACCATGGCATCCAACTGAACTACAGTCATGACATGACTTTGGATAATAAAATTATTACCCCTGCGGCTCAGGGTGATCAGGGGAAGATAATTCTACAGCTATAAATACTAGCTGCAGAGAACCATAAATAAGTTGTACCCAAAGTGTTAAAGGTCATGCTGTCAAGGTGAAATGGTGGCCTTTGGAGGAATTCTTTCTATTCTCCCTTCCAGCTCTGTGCCTTGATATTGCAAAGGCAGGCCCCTTCTACATCTATGCAATGCAGATCTCTGGAGAGTTCAAAAAGCAATGAAGTCATCATTGTTTGAAACTTCTTTCCCTCATTTATTTGATAAAACTGTATGCTAACTCGATTCAAACAAAAACAATGTAAGTTATTGTCTCATTACACAAGACATGTTTAGGTCAAAGCTGGCAAGAAAAATCCATTTTCCAAATACTGGTGGGAGATAACATTCATATATTTGCTGGCTAGGAGTTTGGTTTATCCGTGGAATTGTGATTTTAAACATTAGCCTCTCTGGCACCCAACGTATAGGAAACATAAATACTTCCAGAGAATGCTGCTGCTGCCTGGGGCCTTTCAGCATATTCCAAGTATTGACAGGAGGGTATTAAAAACTGCATTAAAAACACAACAAGCAGTGCTACTGAGGTAGATTTCACAGATGTGATTCCACCTCTGGAGCAAATAAATCTCTGTTCTGTGTTAACGGCTGCTTGGAACCCAGGGGGGGAAAACATTGGCAAAACATACACCTCTATTCCAAAACACAGGGACAAGTTCTTGCAAGCTCCATGGGTCTATTAAATGCACCCATGTCTAACCCGGATCCACAGGATGAAATGTGGGCCACAGAGAATACCAAGGAAGGGAATGTTTCTCAGTTAACAATGCCCAATGGGCACAGTTTATACAAAGTGACAGCTTTTTTCAGAGAGCAGATGGAAAATAGTGGAAGAGATCTGGCCAAAAGAAGAAGATAATATAATATTGCTATGTAAGATCTTCATAGACACTCTATCAAGAAGCAGCTGTGTGATCTGCATCCTTGTTTGAATACATTACGTTGGTCATTGTTTCATAATCTAAACTAAGCCCATGAAACCCACCACTGACAGTTTATTTAAGAGTTTCCTAGAGTTCATTTTTTACTTCTCACTCTCAAAAATCCAAGTAAAAATTAGTAATATGATCTATGATAGCTACTCTTTTATATTTCTTTTGACAGTACTTTCTAATTATTAAAAACTATGGTTATCTGTGTATATTAATAAAAATACTATATACCCAACCGTGCTATACTTTTCACATTCTGTATCAAAACTAGTTATAATTGACACACAAACTAGATACCTAACTAGCCTTTAGAGGCTCAATAAAACCTGTTAATAATTCTGCTACAGTTGAAAAGTCCAATGAGGAAAGCAAATAATTCTAGACAAGGCCGAAAATAGGTTTCTAAGGCTATTGATCACAGTGGACTATTAATTGAACCTTGTATTATTTAACAACATCCTATAACAATGGCTTTAACATTAATAGATGAACAAATCTCCCACTTCAGAGTTCAGAGCAAATGGTGACATTCTAAATAAGTGTCCTCTGTTAACAGGAACTCTGAGGAAGGTAAGCTATTTAAGAAACATTTAACTATATGTACACATGTATCCATAACTCAAGTGCAGAAGTGCTAAACTATGTAATACCGACATACAAAGGTTTAAAGTATTTGAAATAATAACAAAAACTTACTAACACAAATTCATTGACTAATGTGGCACATCTTTCAAGATTCAATATTAACCACACTTTTAGAGTGCAGGTGCAAATTATTCCACTCTTCTAAATACCATGCAATAATAGGACTTGTGCTTTTATAAAATGCATAACCCGTAGTATTATAAGGGAGAAACAATAGTTTCTGTTGTTATTGAACATAACACCTTAATGTCAGTAACTCAATACCTGTAACTTCCAAAGTCTCCATCTCTGCTAATTACAAACCAAAAAGGATAATCCTCAGTTTTTCCTGTGAGTATAGACAGAGTTACAGCCCACAGAGAGAAGGAAAAGTTAAGGCCTCTGTCATGAGTGAGCTTCAGAAATCCCTGACCGGAGGTTCTTCCTGAGGCTGCTAGACTTCCTTCTCTCTGCAGTGAGAGACATGCCCTTCCACCTGACTAAGAAAAGCACAGGAGTTCAAAAACAATCCCTGAGGGTCTGGGGACAAGCCAAAAGGTACAGCTGCAGCCCACACATTTTCTTCTCCCCGCATTTTTACCTTTAACCCAGCCATCTTTAACAAACCTTCTAACAGGCTTGCCTTCCTACCTTGATGTGGGAGGCGTTAATATATCCCGTGTTATTTTCTTTGGTTGGTATCAGCTCTACTCGATTCTCCTCATAGGGGACAACTTCACGGATTCGGCTGCGCTCGGCATTTTCTGGCAGAGCTGCTGTGCTGAAAATGCCATTCGCCTTTTTCTTTGGAATTTGCTCATATTCTGTGAACACCATTCCCTCTTCTAGTTTCTTCTTCAGGGTTCTGAACTGCAACAGAAATTGATCTTCAGCTCTCTAAATTATCTGATCCAAAAACTCAATGAAACAACCAAATTTCTTTAAATATTTAGCGATTGTATTAATAAGAGATTTCAAGTTGTACAATCAATACTTGGTTTGTCTCCTTATCAACCATATTGATTGTTTCCCTTGTCTAATAACCATTTTCCTTCTTACTCATAAGTAGAACAAATCTGCAAGAACTAGCAAGAGTTAAAATTCAAAAATCAGTATTTTTGCTATTAACAACTCTGTTTAAAGTCCTAATGATAAAAAGACTGTTCATTTTAATTATCCAAACATCCTTTTCTCCACCTATGTAGCTGCTTTTAAGATGACACTGGGTCCACAGTTCTATAGCTCTGAGGATTAAATCTCTCTCTTTTTACCTCTTCCCTGGCCAAACTAATAATTACAATAACATGGTATTAATTGGGTTAAATGATTCCTCTAAAGTCCCTTCTGGCTTTAAAAACATTCTAATTCTGGATACATACTGGCAGAAATCAAACACCCTAATGTTATTAGTACTCTATTACATTTATACAACCTGTTTATTAACCTTCTGACAGCAACTTCAGGAACTAAGGATACACCTTTCTTCACCTCTAAAACACTACCATGCAGCTGCTTTCTGCTTTTCAAAACCCATGTTTTCACAATGCATTATCCAGACGATTAAAAATCAGCCTCATTTTATGGTCATATGAGGGGGCAGCATTTTTAAAGAACTCTATAAATGCTTAGATACAAGGTCATGTCTTTTGCGGGAAACATGGAAGGAACTGAAGGCGATTTTCCTTAGCAAACTAACGCAGAAACAGAAAACCAAATACTGCATGTTCTCACTTATAAGTGGGGGCTAAATGATAAGAATTTATGAACACAAAGACGGAAACAACAGACACTGGGGCCTACTTGAGGGTGGATGGTGGAAGCAGGGAGAGGAACAGAAAAGGTAACCATGGGGTACTAAGCTTGACACCTGGATGATGAAATAATACGTACAACAAACCCCTGTGACACGTGTTTACCTATGTAATAAACTTTCACATGTGCCCCCAAAACTAAAAGTTTTTAAAAAATTAAAAATAAAAATAAATGATTGGATAAAATAATCACTTCCTAAGAAATGGCAATTGCTCACAAAAATCATAGAAATTGAGAGCTATCGCAAGTGTTTAACTTGTGCATTTTACAAGAAAGGAAGCAGGCCCAAAGAAATTGAGTGACTTGACCAAGTCATACAGCATGTTAGGGGCTGCTGGTTTTAGGTAACCAATGATCCGCCAACTGGACAAAGCAGGAAGACCGGAATGGAGAAACAGGAGATGCTGGAAGGGACTGATTTAATGCAACACAGTTATGCCTGATCTTCCTAATCTCAGATTGAAGAAATAATGCATCACACAAATCTCAGTGCTGGCATATTCGAGGAAGGAGGGTGTTTTGGGATCCTCAGACTACAGAGAATGAATCACATTTGACAAGCCTGCCACTTACCCTCTCGTCCATGGGAACCCGGGTGGCATCAACTCGATTCTCTTCCCGCCCTGAGACTCGAGCCACCGAGAGCCCGTTCAACGCTGCCAACATCAGCGGCCTCTTCTGTGCCTCCAGGCCTGCCATCTTCTGCTTCTCTAGATTCTTGCGGCAAGAAAAGGCATGTTCTCATTGTTTATAATACTAGTAGAATGTTGGAATGTGTTTTAATCTCCTCAAATCTGTAACTCCCCAGCCAAGGAATGCAGACAATCACCATCAGTAGGGCAAATTCAAACACAGCCTTCCCACTATTCCCACTGGGCCCCCGGAAGCCAGTTCCTACAGGACTCCTGAGCTTTTATTCTTAATTAACTCCTTAGCCAGATAGACCAATAAATAAGAAAAAAGACTCCCTAAAAATACACCCTGCCATAGGGCAAAACAAAACAAAAACAAAATAGGGTACATGCGATACACTTTAGAAAGATAAGGATGACAAGACAAGGAAAAGAGAAACAGGGTTATATGAATCATCTAATCCAATCACAGTGATGGACCTTTTGCACAGATGGAATGGAGCAAAACTTGTAAAACACTTCGTTGTTGATTGAGAGATTCACACACATAAACTGTAGAGAAAAATCTTCCTAAGCTTCTGTCCTGAGGATGTTAATTCTATAATTAATCTCTAGTCCTTGGAGTACCTAAGGGTGGTGTCATGCCCAGAATTGAAAGCTGATGTGGTTTAGCAAACTCACTAACATCAAAGCCTGGCTGGGGTCATCTAAGATGATCCACAGGCCTTACCCTTCAGGCTTCACCCAGAGAGCCCACAATAACAGAGACTGTGCCTGCCATCACAGATGGTGGGACATCACTGCATGCCACTGAGCTATGGGGGAACATGGACTCCAGAACTGAGCAGACCACTTAGGGAAAGGTTTCGATGTTTACACCTGGCCCAGTTTGGGGCTTTTTGATTTCCATCCTCTCCACCCTCAACTCTAAATTGAAATTGGATTTTCGCAGGGCTGGTTTTTAGCCTCCTGCTGTGCTTCCTCAGGTCCTTGAAACTGACCAAGTATGAAAAAGCTCTTTATGCTCACTTCAAGCAAGCCACAAAGGGCCTTTCCTAAAATTAAGTGTGTCCTGGAAGTTAAGGGAAGAACACAGGCACTCCTCACAGAAGCAGATGAGTTTTGCAAGGTTTAGGATTTTGATTCACACTGAAGGGCAACCCATTTGCAGATTCATTTGACTGCCACAGATGAAAAGCCATTGAATCCCCGGTTTCTTTTCAAGCCTTGAGAGACTTTTTTCCTTATCTATGATGTATAAATTCACTCCCCAGGAAGAGGTCTTGATGGCGCCATCCCACAGGGTTATGAATTATTCTAATTGCGGGTGGGGGGACTGCATTACGCCCCTTCCATGTGTTTCCATAATGTCACCTACAATCAGAATGAAGCCTGTGTGAGTGACACGGACAACAGGATGCCTGTCCTGGTGATGGCCGACTCATTAGACAAACCAAAGGAGTATCTCAGAGGAGGTTACTGGGAGAAAGTGAGAAAAGTACTGTGAAAGGAAAATATCTTGGACCCCAAATCACTAAGCTAAAAGGAAAAGTCAAGCTGGGAACTGCTTGGGCAAACCTGCCTCCCATTCTATTCAAAGTCTCCCCTCTGCTCACTGAGATAAATGCATATCTGATTGACTCCTTTGGAGAGGCTTATCAGAAACAAAAGAATGCAACCATTTGCCTCTCACCTACCTGTGATGTGGAAGCCCCCTCCCTACTTCGTCTTCCTGCCTTTGCTTCAAGTTGTCCCGCCTTTCCAGAGAGAACCAATACTGACTGATGTCTCATGTCTCCCTAAAATGTATAAAACCAAGCCATGTCCCGACAACCTTGGGCATATGTCATCAGGACCTTCTGAGGCTGTGTCACAGGTGTGTACCCTCAACCTTGGCAGAATCAACTTTCTACATTAACTGAGACCTGTCTCAGATTTTCTGGCTTTACCGTACCCAAGGACTTACCGCCAAAAGATGTAATATTCTTACAAATGGCCCTGGTCTGTCAATTCTTGGGAACCCCCTGGGGGAAGATTCTGGATTAAAATGGTTAGGTCTTTGTTTGCTTGCTGCTAGTTTTGGGGAGAAAGAGTTTTTCTTTTTTGTTTATTTCTGTCACCTCTTTCACTTGGGAATCTATTTTCACTGCTCTCCAAAGTTTTGAGAAGGTAATAGTTCTGGAAAATGGGTCCTGAGCTCCTCTCAGCAGTCCTGCTTCCTTTCCACCTGCACGGCAAGGCGACCCTAACTGGGTCTAAGACAAAAAGTAATTGACTTGTCTTTATTGGGAAAGGATTATTACTTAGTGATAAATCAAAGTATGTCTCTTTGATCCTTCTCACTCACCCTATCAGCTTGCTACCAGAGATAAAAAATAATAATAATAATAATTCACAAGCTCTGATCTGGCCTTTTCTTCTCAGTGCATCAACTTCTGGCTAGGGGACTACAAGCAGGGAAGTATCTTCAAGGAAGCAGTAGGAGCCAGAATGAGGAGCTACGAAAGCAGCTAAACCATCCATCAAATAGACAAGCAGGTCCAGGAGAGCTGCCCAGAGGGCAAATTCTCACCATACCTGCACACTCCGCCCCGCCCCTGAGTTATCTTTTGCTAAAAGTTTCTCATTGTGTTCTGATCAAGAGGGCCCTTAGAATGGCCATCACCTCTCATGAATTCCCATCAAGCTGGCAAAAGTTGCCCATAGTGAGGAGAGCAGAGAAGTATCTGACCTGTGGGGATGCTGCTTAGGCTAAGGGGTGAGTTTTTGCATTAAAAACAAAACAGGTGGAGACTCATCTTGGGCTCAGAGCCACTGGCATTGTCACCACCTTGCCTGGCCTCCTGGCTCACTGAGGAAGCTCCTAATCCACCTCTAAGGTCTGCTGGTGTCCTTGAGCTCCTGAGTGTAGCAGATTTGGGGGAAAAAAAATCAACAGGGAAAATGAAGTAGAAATGGGATAATTATTTTCTTGAACTAAAGGTTAATGGCTAAAATTTGCTAGTCATTATTACCTACATGAATGGAATGGAAAAGCATCTGGAGAAAAAACAATAGTGAAAATCCCCTTGTTCCTTTGTGATAATGCAAGGAGCTACGAGGAGGAGACCCTGCCAAGATTTTGGCTACAGGCTATTTGTTTAATACGAGTAAGAAGAGAAGAGGATGAATACAACCAAAATGAGGTTAAGGGACCATGTGGACATCATTAAGTATCGAGTTGGCAGGGGAAATAGCTAAATTAAATGCTTAGACTGAGAGGTTCTTGATGCTAATGTTGCTTTTAAGTGGTGTGGAAGTACTAAAAAACTATTTTCTACCAATAAATTGCTTTCTTCCATGTTGGGAAAACTCTCTCCCAGCGGCACCCACCCACACATTTCTTCCATTCCAAGCCAAAGGTTTTCTTTGCTAGAGGCAAAGGTACACCTTGCACAATTTCCTTCTAGGTTTGCAAACAGTCATGTCTGTATAAGAATCTCTTAGCACTACTCTAGTGGGGCTAGCCAAAACTGTGAGGTTGAGAATGTTCTTAAGGTTTTCCAAAAGTAACAAGGTTGCTATAGATTCAATTTCTGACCCCAGGAACTTGGCTTCCTTAAATCATTGGGCCTTGATTGTTCTTTTCAGGTTGAATCCCAATGATGGGTTAGGAAGACCTGGAAATGACGATGGCCAAATGGATTCCATCAAGGCAAATTTTAAGTTACAACTGTTTCAGAGTTCCTAAAATTAGGCTTGGCTACCGTATGGTACAACCGTGGTGAATGAAGAGAAGTCAATCTGGCTTTGATTAGTTCTAATTAATTGTTTTTTTTTTTAAGGGAATGAAAATGTTCATGGCAAGCAGCAATGGAGATTTTTTTTTTTTTTTTTTTTTTCCTGAGACGGGGTCTTGCTCTGTCATCCAGGCTGGAGTGCAATGGCGCCATCTCGGCTCACTGCAACCTCCGCTTTGCAGGTTCAAGTGATTCTCCTGCCTCAGCCTCCTGAGTAACTGGGATTACAGGTGCGTGCCACTACGCCCGGCTAATTTTTATATTTTTAGTAGAGATGGAGTTTCACCATGTTGGTCAGGCTGGTCTAGAACTCCTGACCTCATGATCTGCCTGCCTCAGCCTCCTAAAGTGCTGGGATTTCAAGCGTGAGCCACAGCGCCCAGCCGAGATTTCTTTAAGTAGCAATAATCCAAACATTTTCTCACTAGTAAGAACAGATTCACTTCATTGTTCTATATGTACCTGCATAGTCCTGTTCTGACAACATAACTGTCTCCCCAAGTTGTACAATTTTTTTTTTTTTAAGCAATGAGGTCTAGTCCTGTCATCCAGACTGGAGTGCAGTGGCACAATCACAGGTCACTGAAGCCTTGAACTGCTGGGCTCAAGCAATCCTCCCACCTCAGCCTCCTGATTAGCTAGGACTACAGGCTCCTGCCATCATACCTGTGGTTCCTTTTTTTTTCTATAGAGATGAGATCTCATTATATTGTCCAGGCTGGCTTCATACTCCTGGCTCCAAGTGATCTTCCTACCTCTGCCTCCCAAGTAGCTGGGACTACAGGTATCCCCCACCATACGTGGCTCTGTACATATTATGAAGAAGAGCTATTCATGTCTAATACTAGGATGGATCTTCAAGTGGTAATATGTATGTATGTATATGTATGTGTGTATTCACATACATGTGGGTGAATTTTTGATAGAATAAGTTCAACGGATAATTATTTATCCAATTACTGAGTTATATATCTAATTGCTATAATTTTCTTGAATCTGTGTGAAATATCTATTGAAAGAAAATCTCAATATAAAGTTAACATATCACAATCAAGACAATATTGGCGAGTCTGGACTTATGGATCTATACAGAAGGCGGTATAGGGATGTTGCTTTTAATATCTAAATGGAGGTGGCGGACAGCTTTCCTTCAAGAAAACAAAACACTGAAAGACACAGAAAGGTGAGCTTCCATAATAGCAGCTCACACAATTGGAAGTTTGAGCCTTGAATAAACAGCAAAATCCTAGCTGAGGCCATTGGCCTCAACAACGTACCAAGTACACCTGTTAGAAGCCACGAAAGAGAATGGAAGATTTATTTGAAAGGGCAAAACCCAACATTTTGTGTAATAAAATACTACCTGTTTAAATGCTCAGTGACTGCTTAAAAACCTACCACATTCCCTGCATAAGGTTTGCCCCTTGCTCAGTGCCTGAAGCATGTGCTTTCACACTGGGAAATGCCCCCGGAGAGGAGGACACTCACCCTGATCATCATCTCTCTCTCTATAATGCTGTCCTCCAGGGAAAACATTTCAGACACAGGTCTCTCCTTCACAGGCTCTTTTTTGACCCGCTCCTTCACGCTTGTCAGGTCGGGTTCTGAGATGGATGGGCCGAGAGAGGCCCCGTTGACAGCCGGCGGGTCGGTCCGGGACACGCTGATGGCCTTGGCCGGCCCGTGCCTCAGCACCCTGGCTCTAGCCATGCCGGGAGGAAGGCCGGGTTGTTCCTGCCTCAGAGCCCCATTGCTCACACTCTTCCTTGGGCCGGGGTACTCAGGCGGGGGCTTGTTGGGGATGCGGGCCAGGGCCGCCTGCAGCTGGGCGCTGTACTCCATCTTCTCCCGGAGCACGGGGATCTGGGGCACCGATTCTGGAGCCTCATCCTCCTCCTCCTCGCTCTCGCTGCTGTGGATCAGCATGGTGGCATCAGAGAAGGTCTTCTTGTGGTGATACTGAGGGAGCTGGGGGACCTCGTGGCTGCCTGGCCCCTCCTCGGGTGGTCCCTGCTCCCGGAGCGTGTTGCGGCGAGCCATGGGGAGGTGGAGTGACTTGAGCGTCATGGCCTCCATGCCCCGCACCATGCTGTTCATCACCTCCAGGCTGTGGCGCTTGTTCACCGTGCCATGGTGCTTGGTGGCCGTAAGAGGCTCACTCACCTCCTGGAGAGACTGATGCACCACCGGAGAGCTGTCCTCTTGGAAGGTCTTTACCGAGAGCTGCACCTTCCGGGTCACCAGGTCTGGGCTGCTGCCACTGATGTACTTGTGGCGGTGGCTGGCCAGGTCTGGGGTGCTGGTGGCAGGTCGTGGCCGTGGGTAGGGGGGCGGTGGCCTGAAGAGATAGTTCTTGAGCATGTGGGCCGTGCTGTAGTTATGGTTGCCCTGCAGCTGCATGTTGGCCAGCTCTGGGGTGCTCACCGTGTGCGAGATGGCGCTTGCCCCCGGCTTGCTTGGTACCACATTATTCTTTGGGTTCCTCTGGTCAGATGGACTGACAAGTTTGTTGCTATAGACCCCCTGTGGCCCATAAGGGACAGTGTAGGGGTGCCTCTCCCGCATCTCTGGTTGGCTGTACACCAGATCCTCTGGCTGGTTATAGGCATGGGTGTTGATGATGTTGAGGTTTCTCAGAGACTGGCTCTGGCTGTCTGTATGCAGTATCCCCCTCTTCATCTGGCGCATGACTGTCTCATAATCGGGGGTTGGCCTGTACGAGGGCACGATGATCGCGCTGTGCCGGTGGCTCGGGATGTAGTCGGCCCGCATGATGTCACTCCCAGGGATACTGAGGTTGGAGGATACAGGGGAGGCCTGGATGAAACTTTGCGAGCAGTTGAGGGAGTTGACGCTATGAACGCTACACACGCTGCCATTGGTGACGGTGCCATTTAAATAATTTAAGTCCAGGCTGTTGTGAGAGTTGCAATACAAGGCTTCTTCATTCCCATGAAAAATGCTGTCTACGAGAAGTCAAACAAAGGCACGTGAACCTCCAAGCCATCCTGCCACAACAAAGTACATCCTCATACTTATGAGCTGACTTTTAATTTAAATAAGTCATAAAAAGTGAAATCCCATGGTCTCCACCCACATGTTCTACAGAATAACGGATACCATCTTGGATGAAATGCCAACATACAGAAAGAACACCTTAAGACATATTGAAAAGAAAACGGGAACCTAATGGAAGAAGGCATGCACACATTTGGAGTAAGTGTCGCTTGGGGAAGTTCTCAATTTTACCATAAGCTTTAAAATCAGGCACCAACAACTGCCCTCCAGTTGGGGAGACCTGTCCTCTTGTGCAGGGCTCAGCAATAGGACTGAATATTTAGACCAGACAGTCAAGAACTTTAATAGGGCAATAGATTTCAATTACTAAGTATTTAGAGCTGCTCTTCCTGACGGCAGTGGAAAAAGCCCCTTCACCCAGGGGACTGCTGGGCATTCTAAAGGCACAAAACAAATGATGTAGCCAGGATGTCAGCACAGCTAGTTCATCCTGAGCAGCAATAAAGGCCAAAATTAGAATCAAGAGTTCTTTTCGGTAATTTCCCAAATCCCCTCTAGATCTGGTTTCATCACTTAGGTCAATTCAAGTAAAAATTAATTATAGTTTAAAGAGGTCCCTAAAGAGAGAAAAAGCAGATTTCTAAAATCAGGCCCATTCTAGGTGTCCGAAGTTCTCTTACATACACACACACCCCTCCAAGGAAGGCAACCTCTTGCCTTTCTGTGGCCAAGATATATTCATTTTTTCACACTACAGATTTAAACATGAGCAAAACAGATAAGCATAAAATCAGAGAAGGTGAAAAACAGAAAAGGTGACTGAAGACATTCAACTGTCTGAAGAGGAGGAGTGTGTAAAGAGATCTGATCAGATAAGATAGGCAGAAAAAACAGGGGGACACAGAGACAAATGTGCCACAATTTATCCGCCTCCCGTGGGGTTTGGTGCCTTCCCATAGAAATGTGGTAACTTTGCTAGTCTCCTTATAAAAAGTACTACTTTTATTAAATTAAATAGTCTTGACTGTCTTGGTTTTCATGCTCACACTTTCAGACAGCAGAGGATTCAAAATGGCCAGGAGTTGATAACATAGAAACTAATTATCTATTTACTACATTTCCAACATCCAAGGTTTTCTACCATCTCTCTTTTTGAAATGCAGTTAGCATAATGATTACGAGTTACCGATTTTCATATCTAAGTTCCATCATTAATCTCTCTGTATTCCAATTTCTATAACTGTAAAATAGAAATAATAATAGTACCTACAGGTTTATTTTAAGGATTACATGAGACAATATATAGCAAGTACTTACAGCAATACCACAATTGCTCTATGAATGTTAGCTGTTATCATGAAGTCATTACTAAAAGAAGCTTTTTCACACATTTTGCATGGGAGATGTTTTGGGAGAAAGAGAGGAATAGAACAGATTTACCTTACTCTGAGAAGAAAAAAGCAAGTGTACCAAGAAAGGGGCTGGAGAAAGAGATGAGAAAAACAGCTAAAAGAAAAGGCTGACTTTGTTTATTTCTTCCAATTATTCTGCATGCCCATGTTCTATGTCACCATGAAAACCTGAGTGACTGCCACAAGTTTTCGGATACTGGCAATAAAGGTGAAGTGCATTCACGTGGGCTGAGCTGTCAAACTCTCTTCTCTAAGCTCCCTTAGGAAAGGGAGGAGAAAAGGACTTGCTTGCTGCCTTGGCCCGGACTCCCTGAGCAGCCAATACTGGGGAAATTTTTTGATCAGAGGTAACTGATAGTCTAGGCCATCCACAAATTGAAGCTGTTAGCTACTGTCATTCAGATGAGGATGAAGTTAAAAAGAAAGCATCCCTGTCATCTTTTTTTTAAAGGCTTCTTTACTGCTTACTGGTATTCAACTTTTTGTCTTAAGAAGAGAGAACGGCAAGCCAGAGTTACCTTGCGAGGTGTGCGTTTCCGAGTAGTGCTCACCACACTGGACGTGAACGGGAGGCAGGATGTACGGCTGCTGCCTGGGCTGAAACAGAGAACATAGAGGAGGTGGGGAGGCCTGGCAGACACGGCCGATGACTCACACAGCCGGCCCGGGCACACGGCAGTCCCGCCACGTCGTCAGGGAGGCTCGTGGCAGCCGCTGTCCCTGCCACCCCTTTGACTCAACCTTCTTCTACCCATCTGCACTCCCATCTCATCACTAAGTTTGGAACTGGAGAAATGGTAAGGGAGAAATGAAGTTGGTTCAAGATCAGAAAGAGAAAGAGGTTACCATCAAAGACTAAATGTAACCATTTACTATACATGTTCTAGTATACTTGCAAAGTTCCCTATGCCTTCTTTCACAAGAATAACTTAGAAAAGGTAAATTATTCAAGGCAGGCAGACTGACTGAGCTCAGGAGTTCAAGACCAGCCTGGGCAACACAGTGAAATGCCATTTCTATTAAATATACAAAAATTAGCCAGGCATGGTGGCACATGCCTGTAGTCCAAGCTACTCGCGAGGCTGAGGCAGGAGAATCACTTGAACCCGGGAGGTGGAGGTTGCAGTGAGCTGCGATCACGCCACTGCACTTCAGCTTGGGCAACAGATTAAGACTTCGTCTCCGAGAAAAAAAAAAAAAAAAATTATCTGGGCATGGCGGCGTGCACCTGTAGCCCCAGCTACTTGGGAGGCTGAGGTGTGAGAGTTGTTGAGCCTGGGAGGCGGAGGTTGCAGTGAGCCAAGATCATGCCACTGCACTCCAGCCTGGCGACAGAGCGAGCCTCCATCTGAAAAAAAAAAAGGAAAAGAAAGAAAGGAAAGAAAAAGAAAGGAAGGAAAGGAAAGAAAAAGGAAGGAAGAAAGAAAGAGAAAGTAAATTATTATAACCCATCTCAGAAATGAGAATAAGAGGGACACCTGTTTTGTTCTCAAAATTCCATTCACAAGCTCCTACACGTCAGCAGAGCTGTGCCTGAGATCCCAGTTCACAGCTCCACATCAACCTTCAATAGGAACAGGGTTAGTGTTAAGCTGCGCCCAGGGTGAATCTATTTAAATATCTCAAATGCGGCCCACAACAATGAGTGTATAGCTCTCCAGACCACTTGCTGACCTTCCCCACTGCAGAAGCAAGGGTGGAAAGGGCCCTGTCTACCCGCCACCGCAGTGCAGAATCTTTTCCACAGTCTCTTAAAGATGGCTATTTAGACTGAACCCGAATAACTTCATGCTGTGGAAGAGGGACAAGTTTTCAGAGAAACAAAACAGAACAAAAAAAAAAGCACAATATTTGGTGAGCCAACAAAGGAACGACGGTTATGCACTAATGTAATCTAGAGCAGGCCATTTAACTTCAGTCAGTCTCAGTTTCCTGTCAGTCAAATCAAGCTTTTCCCTCCCCTACCTCAAGTATTATCCATTTTATTTATGCATTGAGGTTCCAGGTAAAATCTGTTTGAAGTAAGAGTTTTGATTTGCAGGGGAAAAAAATCTTCAAAACCCTTAAGCTTATAAGCCACCAAACAAAATAATATCTTATATTTCTTTTTTCTGAGACATTGTCTCACTCTATTGCCCAGGCTGGAGTGCAGTGGCACAATCTTGGCTTACTGCAACCTCCGCCTCCTGGGTTCAAGAGATTCTCATGCCTCAGCCTCCCTAGTAGCTGGGATCACAGGCGCTGCACCACCATGCCCAGCTAGTTTTTGTATTTTTAGTAGAGACGGGGTTTCACCATGTTGGCCAGGCTGGTCTTGAACTCTTGACCTCAGGTGATCCACCCGCTTTGGCCTCCCAAAGTGCTAGGATTACACGTGTGAGCCACTGTGCCCAGCCAATCTCTTATATTTCTATTAGCCTTATAGATTTTAAAGGTTACTATTTTGAGAGAAGAATCTGAGATCAAACCAAGAAACCCAAATCCAGCAGGGGTCACACTTTCTCAGCATCCCTCAATGGAAGAAATACACTGGCCAAGAGCTTGAAGCTGGGTAACTAACTCACCTATCATTTTCTCTGACACAAACAATGCTTGATCTTCAAAGTGGCAATAAAAAAAGGGATCCAAGAATTAAAAGGAATCAAGACAGAAGAAATGAAGAACTGAAATCAATCTAAGAAAGCAGTTCGGGCTACCAAAGAAAAGGGGCTATATTCCCAAGTCTCCCTTTGGCTGATTTTTGAGTTGCAATTTAAAAATATTTTTCCTTTTCTTGGCAATACATAATTCAACTCAAGTTTTCCATGGTAGCACAACCATTTTCAGGCTTTAAAGAAAAACACAGTGGGGAGGGATTTGTACAAGGGAATAGAAATACACCGCAAGGCAAAGTGGGTTTACTGTCTTTACTTGCCTTATTTAAAAAAATCTAATAAGTAAGTTACGGTTTATGAACTGACATAAATGAGCAGACTTACGCCAGTTCACAAACAGCATTGTCAAAGGATAATAATAGCTAATCCCTCAAACATCATTTCAGGATTTTATTATTTATTGCATCTCTTTATATATTCTAATTCATTATTCCATTTCTTTCCAGATGTGCTAATAGAGAAACAAATTTGATGCCAAAATACAGACAGAAGAGGGCAGGTGAAAAACAGCAATGAGAAGTTCTGGTTATCAGCAAGGAAGCCAAGAGACAATGTTATCTGGTCTTACTCACTCATTGTAAGAAACTCTTGGTGTAATGGTTTAAGCCTAAAGGACAGGAGAAAGAGGGAAGCCATTAATTGGATCAGACTTCCTATAAACTGTCTTCATCTGAATAAAATAGGTAAGCCTCTGCATCCTCTCTGGATATGAGGACAAGATAAGATCACAAGAGAGCTTTCAAACACTTTGCCTCCCATAGGGTTTCAAGGATGTAAATGAAAAATTATTTTGCTAATAAAGACATCTATACTCTAAAGAAGGGAAAAGGAAGATAACATTCATAAAGGAGAAGAATAAAGAAATCAGTGCCATGAACAAATCTATTGGTACTCAGGGAAAGCCCAAGGTATCTCTTAGATCTCCAGGGCCCAGGATCACATGTGAGGTATTGTGCATAATATTGAGAGAAATAATATTCTCACAGGCACTCAGGGATTACTGCGATGTCATAATGGCTCAACTCAAGAATTCAAAGAGTCCACATCTAAGCATTTTCCAGAAAATATTTTTTTTCTCAAAACGTTCCCTTCAAAAGACAAGTTAAAGACATGCTATCATGTATACATTGAATATGAAGAAAAACTTAATTGCATTCTATCAACTTGAAGGAATTGTTGATCTAGAGAAGTTCAAAGGTCATATGTTTATTTTGATTTTGTGTAAAAAACCATAACCTAAAATAAAAGAATTGTGAGTTAAAACAAGCAGAAAACATTAAAGGAAACCAATTCTTAACATCTGTTATCCTTGAGTAATCCTCAAAACATAGCCTAAGACAGAACACATGCACTGAAATTAATTGTTTCCTTATTCACATGATGAGGAAAGCAACTTAAACAAAAAAGCAGCGGCTAAAGCTAGATCAATTCAAACTCTGCTGGCTAATTAAAGCCTAAAATTATGGAAGTGCTTTGGAAATCTGATTTTTTTTAAAAGGCCTAAAATTAGGAACTATGCAATCAATTTTCCCCATCAGATACTCTGCCTGAGACCATCAACCAGATCCGTTCAGTTTTTGCTCATTTAGAAGGCATTTTCTCACTAGTTTATCAAGCTCTCTCTATGGCAGTGAACACAAAAGAATTTGTGGGGCTCATAACTGAAGATGTATCTTCACACAACAACCAGAACAGATAAGCAAGGGGATGAAAACACACCATAGGCTGTATGCTGATGGAACATGGTCCCACAGGCCTGGAATAAGACCTACTCTCAGGGTAAACCCGCAGCCTCAGCCACACTTAAGAGTAGTGGTGGGCATGGATGGATCCAAGGGGGACAAAATGGGTGTGCATCGCACCTGCTTGACAGAATGATGCCTCTGTGTTCTCACAAAATTTCACCTCCTCATGATGCCCTCATCATCCCCCTGCCTCAAATTAACAACAAAGAATGCTCAACAGTCAGATCACTTGATCACTGCAGCTTCTATACATACCAGAGAGGACCGGCTCCAGGTGGGCTGGCGTCTGATGGGGGGTGGAGAATTTGACTGTCTACATGAAGAGGTGAAAAAATGAGAATGGTTATTATTATTGATATAAAAAGACCAGATAGACAAGGGAGGGAGAGGAAGTAAATCAACAAGATTGGTAATCGTTACATCAAGACATAAACATGGCTTATTTCCGGTGGTAACACTAAGAACAATTTTGATTTCCTTTGTTTTTCTCTGTTTTCAAAATGTTCAGATAGGATACTTTTAGAATAAGTTTTACAAAGTAATATTAAACAAATGGAGGCTTATTTCTATAGAAAGACTGGAGGGAAATAAGCAAGACTGAAAAATATCACATTACATGGATTTTTAAAAATTGTACTCTTTCTACTGTTGTATATATGTAAAATCCTTCATAGGTTTTTTAAAAAATGCAAGAAAAAATATTTTTAAAATGCTTCCAGTCAAATGAAAATACGAAATAGATACAATATTTTCAGTGTGACCATATAAAAGGTACTTTTTATTAAGATAATACATTTTACAAACATTTATCTGATCAGATATTTTCCAGACTAAGAATCAACATATTTTTTAATGTAGAGATTAAAAAATGAATTGGAAGTATTAGCAAATTCTTGAGAGTTGAAATCAAAGATGCCTTCAAGCCATGCGTCCCAAATGCTATAATATTTTCCCTCATTCTCAGTGCTACCATAAAACAAACAAACAAAAAAACCAGGACTTGTACAGTTTTTTATTAGGGTAAGTTCTTCAATTCAAAGGACTCTCCTTATTCTGAGATTTCATCCTTCCTACTTTTTTGGTGATAAAATATATTTTATGAAATGATGGAGGCAATATAGCAATGGTGGATTTTTAAACGACTGGCTAAATAATACAATATTATCAGACCTATGTTATATATACTGCCCCCTAATTTTTCTCCCTATATCAAGAAATTGAGGAGCCACTCAACAGAGCTATACCTCCAGACGACAAGCAGCAGCTCTGCAGGAGCAGAAAAATCAGTAACGATCTTTTAGAGGTCAGAGAGTCTCGCCCTCTGGAGAAGGACGCTGCTGTGTGTGCGTGGAGAAGGACGCTGTTAAGATTATGCCAGTTCACAGAACTCCAGAGGGATGCCCCAGGCCATAACATCGTGCTGGGACGCTGAACTGCATATGGAATTTAATGGGAGTGTGTGTGTGTGTATAATTTTGAGAGTGTGCCCCAGGTTTTAATCAGGTAAGATGTTAGGAACCTCTTATACTCGGTTAGGAAGAAGAAAAGAATGGTTATTACAGAAACAGAATTGAGAAACAGAATTTCTTCTTAGTTTTCAGACTAATATGTGATGTTCACTAATACTGGAGGAAAAGACCACCAAAAAAAGTAATAATAATAAGCACTCCGTAAATTTGATAGTAAAACCATTTGCTGAGCTGTGCTTAAATCAGAAGACGAGAGTAAAATCCAGTTCTCAGTTTTTAAATTCACCCTAGAGAAGTCAAGGATAGCATTCTTGTTCATGTCAAAGATACCCCGAGAAGTCAAAGGCAACCGCAGAGTAGAAATACACAGAAGTGACCTATCAGGAACCTGCTCAAGAGAATGGTGTGGTGGGGCACATGGGAGAATGTGTCCGGAAGAAACGTACAGCCGCTTCACTTGCCACTCCCCGATCAGGCCTTCTTCTGATTTACATTTGCAAACCAAGCGGGTAGGCCTAATACTATCAGACATACTTTCAGACCCCGACAGTGACCAATTGCAGTGACTGGCTTGAAAGAGCCTCCGTGGTGTGGAGAAAAAAGTCTGCCATGACCTGGCGCTCCAGCTATAAAGCGGCCGCGTTCTTCAGCAGGAACTGCTCTAGGACAATACTCTACATACTCTCGGATGTGTCCACTGTGGGAGTGGAAAAGCAGTTCTTCTCTTGCATTTATAACCCTGACGCTCTTTGAAACAAAATTAAACACATTGGGCGCCCAAACTGCTGAATGTATTCGGCTGAGGAACGTCTTTTGAAGGTAACCAAGAAAAAGACAACGATAGAGTGAGCCCCAGCACGCTCCATCTGAGGTCAGGTCGCATTTAAGTGCCCTCATCACACGCCTCTTTATCATCTTTATTTCCAAATTAAATTAAAAAAATACACACGGATTTGTGACACCTATGAGTGTCTTCCACATCTTCCTCTAATTACCCTGGCCTCTCATTTACAGTCAGATGACATGACCCAGGAGAACGCGCAGGGTTAGCCAACTGTGCAAGCGACACGGGGCTGAGGATGACAGGAGTGCCTTCTCTTTCAAGCTAGCTCGTCACTCTGTTACCCACTTCTGAACACACTCCGCGTCTGACACGAAGGGGCACCCTGGCAAATTGGGAACTGCTCTGCTTCTCCAAACTCCTAGCAGAGGGTTGGAAAGGCGCTAATGCGGGCCACCCCATCCAGGCAGCCAAGCATTCACAGTCAATTTGTGAATTATTCTCTCTCTGGGCATATGCACTACACTAGACAGTCTTCATCATTAACGTTTTCATTCCTGCCCTGGCTTTAGCTTACTTCTTTAGCTTCTGCAAGGAACAAGGAAAAACAGTGAATAGGAAAAGCAACCTACAGCACCCCAAAAAGACACTAATTTAGTCTGATAAAGCCATCCCGTTGAGGGGGGGACTAAATGTTTACTTACTCAGTGCAGATTTTGTTTTGTTTGTAAAACTTGTGTCGTGTGGCAAACAACCGAGAAATATACTTGGCATTTTCGATATCATCCTTGGAAAAGAAGAGACAGAGAAAAAAATAAACATTAGTTGAATTAGTTATACATTTCATTAAGATTCTTCTGAGGAGGGACACATCCCTTCCAACCTTCATCTCAAGCACAAAATAATACATGGGCCAGCAAAGTAAACCAGCCTGCTGAATTTCAGCAGCAGCTATGCCTACAAAGCCTACCAAAGAGTGGCAGAACATGCCGTCTGCCAAGGAATCCCTATGTCCAAAGTGCTGGGGTTACACTGATGAACCGGCATGTCTTTACGTAATTCCCGACCAAGCGCTTTCAAAATAAATAACTGAATCAAGGCACAGCATAGAATAAACACCAGACTTCATTAAATAGGAGGCAGTGAGATGCCTTGGCTCTCGAGGAGGCACTTAACAGAAGGTCAGTAGCTTAGCTTACTTCAGATTAAGCTTGGGCTACGATGGGAAAGAAAACTCAGGTCCGCCAGCAAAAGCAAATGGAATGCAATAGAAGAATCAGGGGTCACTAGATGAGGGCTGTAACTAGAGTGCTGAGGAAGGCGGCACACCAGACAATGTGATCCATCACACATAAGGCAGGTGGAGGGACCAGAGTCCTAGAGTCAAAAGGACAATACTTTTACAATAAATACAATACTTTTACAATTAAAAAAAATACAATTATTTTATTATTTTATTTTTTGAGACGGAGTCTAGCTCTGTTGTCCAGGCTGGAGTGCAGTGGCACGATCTCAGCTCATTGCAACCTATGCCTCCCGGGTTCCAGCGATTCTCCTGCCTCAGCCTCCTGGGTAGCTGGGACTACAGGCACCTGCTATCACGCTTGGGTAATTTTTGTATTTTTAGCAGAGATGTGGTTTTGCCATATTGGCCAGGCTGGTCTCGAACTCCTGACCTCAAGTGAGCCACTGGCCTCGGCCTCCCAAAGTACTGGGATTACAGGCATGAGCCACTTCCCCTGGCCGGAAACCTGGTATTTTAAACATGGGTATTTCATCACCACTATCCTGGAATGAGTAATGATAGCATTGACCAAGTACTAGAAAGCATCTCTTCAAGAGAATATTTACTATTTCAAGATAGGGACAGCAAGGAAAGGACATGAGGAGTTGAAAAGTCCAAAAGCCAGTGTCTTGTCAGACCCTGCCTCTGTTTGTCTGTTTTGCTTACCGTGTGAAAGAGGGCAGTCTCTTCTTTGTTGATGAGCTCCACCAGAATGGTCGACTTGTTATGAGTGATATTCCCCATGTCATTCCACCTGGTCAAAAGAAATGTCACTGTGAAAGATGTTCCAGGCATTTACGACACAGCAGAGGAGGGCTGTTTGCTGCTATCGAGTCTCATTTTTACAAATTATGATTTAACTATTTTTAAGTGAAATGTTCTTGCAAAGGATAAAAGTAAAGAAAATGCAGCACGTATCCATTCAAATAGCTAAAAATTCTACATAACATATGTCTAGATATTGCTATTTATAAATTATAGTTTTCTTTGTGACTAGCAATGAGGAAAATCTGCAAGGGACTTTTGCTTCCCCCTCTCCCACTTTTTTCACATTTCCAAAGGGACAAAATATTTCCCATGACCACCACTTTTTAATGATGGAGGAGCATATATTATTAAAACGTCATGTGTTTCCAGGAACCTAAACAGAAGAATCCACATATTCTGTATTGCAATATGCACTACAGATTCATGATGCCACCTAAGAAAAAACACCTATTGAAGCAGGAATGACAAGAGAGATCTTTCAGACTATAGAATAAACTTTTTGACTTTTGGACTTAGTGTCAGCTCCATATGCCAGCCACTAAGTATATATTAATTGTCTGTTTAATGTGCCTACACTTTTGGGAACATACACACACACACACACAGAGTTTCCTTCCCTGTCTTCATGGAGACCTTATCTAAAATGAGATACACCAAAACAAGCACCAGATGAGGAAAGATAAGCTACTGCTTCCCACCCTACTTGGAACCAATTTCTAACCATCTTTTACCACTACCTACCCTTCACCTATAATTCCCTCCCACCGCTTTTTCACTCATATGATGCATCTGCTCATTAATACTTCTACCATCCTCTGTTTGGACAATAACTTTGAGACTCAGCTCTGGGAGTCACCTTCTCTAGGAATCCCTTCCTCATATCCCCCCTACCCACACATGAGGGGAAGAGCCTGCTGCAGTCCCCTACCAGTCACCACATTGCATTACAATTTTTACTTCTGTGATGAGATCTCTAAGGAGACCAAGTAGACCACAGGCCCCATACCCAATGCAGGAATTCTGCCTTCTTCGTTTCTGTGTTCCAAGCACTGAATCGAGTACCTGGCACACAGCACTCAATAAATGTTTGCTAGAAGAATAAAAAGCAATAATATTGCCTCTCAGCTGTATAGAATTCGATTCTTACATCAAATCTCTATGGCAGCTATTTTTGCTCCTACTTTAAAAATGAGGCAATATAGACACAAATAAGTACCTGACTTAACAAGTTTACTCTGTACATCAGGGATGGATGAGTTCTTTACTTGGGGTTTCCAGCCTTTCCTCCAGTCATCATTCCCTTATACCAGTACCAAATGTTTTTAGGTGCCTCTGCTGGGGCAATACTCTCTACAAGTGCTGCACCCAGCTTGCTTCGCAACCGACAGTTCTATCAGATTACATCTACGTGGACTCACAGCTACATGCTCCTTAGTGAAGGTCTCTAGAGATAAGAGATATTTGGTTTCGTCTGGCTTCATTCCTTCAAATCAACTGCTGAAATCCTAGATACACTTGGAGCCCCACCATATGACTTCATCTAGTGGTATAATTAACATGACGCTATAGTAGATGTGAATTCTCATCTCGTAGTGGTTTCAAGATAAATGAAAAGGGCTGGAAACAGTTTCTAAGGAAACTAAGCATAACCTGTGAGTGGCTTATGCTCATGAAATTTCCAAATTGCAATTTTCTTCTCTTTCACTTCAACAGCTGGTGTGCAAGACTTGTTTACTTATCTGCTGTGCTGTAGGTTCAAAGAGAAACTGAAACATCATTTTAACTATGGAGAACTCGTAGGACACAATGTCTGGATAGCTTTGAATGGGTATAAAAATTTAGTTACAACTCTGCACATATTTACATATTTTCCTCAATTAATTTATACTTTGTGGCAGATATATGGAGCTGACACTAAGTCCAAAAGTCAAAAAGTTTATTCTATAGCCTGAAAGATCTCTCTTGTCATTCCTGCTTCAATAATGTCTCTATTTAGAGGGCAAGAGAATATCATAAAAACAATGACAGAGTGGGGATCTAGGAAAATAAAATCCTATCAGGAAGCTTTTGGTTAGAAAATTGTCTCAAAATGGCCCTACTGTAGTTGCTGATCCAGAGAGTACATGGCCAGTTAAGAGTCACTTCCAGAAGGTGGGCTATGCCTGCCTCCAAGAGCTATCTTTGATAGTGTGCCCTGGATACACAGATCCGCCTATCAGACACACATACAAGAAAGCTGTTCTTCCAATCATGGGCCATGTTGCCCTTGTAAATGAAAGCTAGAACACAGTTTATCAGATCGTTGGCATTATGATAAAATCTATGAGCACCAATACAAAGCAAGCATATTGACGTGAAATGCAGGAGGAAATGGCTGCATCTCTATACTGATATCTTTCCTGATAAATGGAAAAGAGGACTGAAGTGTCAAAATAATTAAAAGTACCAAAGCCCCCTAATTCATCATAATAAATAGATTACTTTTTCAAAACACATTTTTAAAAATAATCGCCTTTTGTTCACATAAAAATCAGTTTGCACTCTTGTGGCACAGGTGGTTCAGAACAATGGAAAGAAGTGTTTAGATTTAATGACTGACTGGAGAGCCAGTTTTCAACCAGACTCACGAAGTTTAGTTTCACCCTTGTAACTCAATAGGGTTTAACAATGTATTTCTTGGAGTCAGGTGGGAAGGGTTTCTACGAAAAGTGAGATGAATTTAACGCTTAAATCCTGCAGAGGGCTCACCTTATATGAGCTGAGAAAAGTCAAATCTTATCCACTGTTTGGCTCTTAACTCATTTGGATGTTAATGTAACATTAACATTACAGTCCCTCAAGGTGAAAAAGAAAAAAGAAAAACAAACAAACGAATAAGACTACCTGTGTATTACTGCTTGTCTTCCAATTCTGTTCCTCACGAAAATCCCCATAAAGAAAATGCCAAGGTGTACACAGTTTCCATGATTGTCCTGGGTTAAGACCAACAAAAGATACTTGTGATGACTCATGTTCACGGCAACATTAGTCACAACAGCTAAGATATGGAATCAACCTGAGTGTCCATCCACAGATGAATGGATAAAGAAAACGTGGTACATGCGTACAAGGGAGTACCATTCCGCCTTAAACAGAACAAAATTGGCATCTGCCACAATACAGATGGAATTGGAGAACACAATGCTAAATGAAATAAGCCAGGTACAGAAAGACAAATAACACACGTTCTCACTTATACGTGGAATCTAAAAATCTGAACTCATAGAAGCATATAGTATAATGGTGGTTACCAGAGGCTGGAGAATGGGAGGAATGGGGAGAAGATGGTCAAAGGAAATGAAGCCTTGTTAGACAGGAGGAGTATGTTCAATATATCATGGTGACCATAGCATAGTTAGTAACAATATATTGGTGTTTTGTTGTTGTTTGTTTTGAAACAAGGTCTCACTGTTGCCCAGGGTGGAGTGCAGTGGCATGATTTTGGCTCACTGCAGCCTTGACTTCCTGGGCTCAGACAATCCTCCTACCTTAGTCTCCCAAGTAGCTGGGACTACGAGCATGCGCCACCATGCCCCACTAATTTATTTATTTATTTATTTATTTATTATTTATTTTTACAGACAGGGTCTTGCTATGCTGCCCAGGCTAGTGATCCTCCATCCTCAGCCTCCCAAAGTGTTGGGATTACAGGCGTGAGCCACTGCGCCCCGCAACAATGTATTGTATTCTTAAAATCACTAAAAGAGTAAATTTTAAGTGTTCTAACCACAAAGAACTTACTCCTCCTGTCTAACAAGGCTTCATTTCCTTTGAACATCTTCTCCCCATTCCTCCCATTCTCCAGCCTCTGGTAACCACCATTATACTATATGCTTCTATGATTTTAAGTGTTCTAACCACAAAGAAATATGTGAGGTAATACATATGTTAACTGGTTTGATTTAGCCACTCCACAATATACACATATTTCAAAACCCGTAGGCATCACATCCCATTTCTCACCCATGAGTAGAACGAATCATACACAACATCATAGCAATAAAGTGAACAGCTGTGTTGGGGTCAGGTCCTACAGGAACTCACCCACCACACATCCTAGTGAACTATATATAGAGAGAGAGAGATTTTTTTTTTCCTTTTTTCTCAATTTGTCACAACACATTTCCATTTTAAAAGAGAATCTCTGGATTTTCTCAGATTCATTGGGATTTGGATTTTCTCTTTCATGAACATCTATTAATGTCTTTTATTTTTTAACCTTACCAAAGTTCTTATTTTTTAAATCATTATACATGTAATAGTTTGAAGAGTTGAATATCCTTGAGGGCTTGCTTAAAGGAAGCCAAAAGCAGACCTAGACCTACCACTTCCTCGGTCCAGAGGCTGAAACTTTCACCTCTTAAAGCCCTCGATGTGTCCCTTTGCAGCTATCATCTCTGGCCCTTTCAGTGCAGAACGTCCCATTCCTCAGTGAAGGGATATTTTCTCGAATAATTACCTTTTGTTTCCCTTGTTCGCTCTTTTTAGAACTCTCATTATTGAAATATTGGACATTCTGGACAGGTCCTCTAATTCTTTCATCTCCCGTCCCCGACTTACCATTACTTTGTTTTTTGGTGAGACTTTCTCAGTTTTATCTCCTAACCTGTCTATTAAGTTGTATACTTCTGATATCACATTTTTAATTTCAGAGTTCATTTTTGTTTTCTAAATGCATCTTTTTGTAAGTACCTTATTCCTTCAAGGAGCTAAAATTAAAAAAAAAAAATATCCTGAGGCTCACTGAATAGTATTTTGAGCAGGGGGTTCTTCTTCCTGTACAACATCTGCATCTGCCAGTCAGTCCACTGCTGTTCTTATGATGTTGATCTCTGTCATTCCTAGAAGGACACTGTGTAGAGTGATGCTTGACTGTCTGTTCGCATTTGAGAATCGGATGCTAAATGCTGGCTGGGAGCTCTCTAAGCACAGGAGGGGCTTATGGACCTCACTGGCAGGTGATCTGTTGAGCCCTGTCTTGGGGAACCCCAGATGTCATATTCTTATCTTCAGTCTGGCCTCTTGGTCCAGTCAGGCGCTTCCAATCTCCTGTCTGGGAAAGCATCACCTGGCTGCCAGGGTTCTGAGAGCGGAGTGGGAACCAGACATCTAGTGGACAAACTGTCAGTCCCTTAAGTGAAATCCTGCTTTCCCATGGGGGAGGTCTTCTTTCTGGAGCAAGAGTGGAGCCACGCACAACTAGAACTAAGATGGAAAAGAAGGACTTCTACATTCCCTAGAATACTTGATCCCATTTAAGGCACAAAGAAGGCAGGGACCTCTTCTCAACTCACCCTCTAAAGCTTACATTCGAATAAGAGTCTTCTAACAGAGACAGAGAAGGAGTACAACCCCTGTTGGTCGCAAAGCAAAAAGAGTGTTGAGAGACAATGAACCGGCAAAGACAAAAGAGAACCATCCCGTAATGCTGATTCCAGGAAGTTGAAAAAGTAACAGGAGGTATATGTGAGAAAAGAAGATAGGAGGAGTGGAATTAGAAAGAGAAGGGGAATTCTGCAGAAAGATTTCCCTGGGCACTTTACCTGCAGAACTGTAGGGATGCGGATAAGGGAAGAGTTATTCACCAAGATGGGGCAATGGCAAAAGCACAGCAGGGGTGCCTCTGGAAGCCAGTACGCTGGGGACACTGCACTGGTCAAAGCTTAAGGGCTCTAAATCCAACCTAGCAATGGATAAAGGCTCCAGACTCTGTCTTACCCATCCCAGAAGCACCCTTTGCCATGTCTATGTGCTCTGACAATACAGGACTGACTCAGGCAGTGCCCATACCTGTATCTGTGGAAGGAGGGGCAGACTTGTTGGGAAGGTGACTGGTCTTCTACTCTTGAAAATTTTTGAGGAACCACTCATGGAAAAGCCCATGCTAAATTCATGTATTTTTCCTAGGATATATCATGACATGCTTTTATTTTGTCAATAAGAACCTGTACCAATCAAAAGAGAATCCAGTCCCACTCACAGCCTTTCCCTGCATATTTTCTTGTCTGCTTTTTTACTCATTGCAGAGCTGACCACATCACCACCCCCACTGGTACTGTTGCTCCCACCCCCATCCTTGGGTCACCAGGAATCATGCGGTCTATAGATGGTCACCTTAGATATGCACAGGTATGTGGGGAGAAAGAGGAAAAAGAGGCAGTGCAGCTCAGTTACCTGAGCTTGGCAATGAGTCAGAAGCGCCTATCTTCCAACTCAGAGGAAGGTATTATAACCCTTGTCGGTCCCACTAAAGAAAGAACATACTAGAAAGCACATCAGAACCAACCACAGCAGATTTCAACATATCCTCAACTGCCCCTGTTTTCCACAGTCCACATTAAAAAACAACACAAGCAAATTGTCGCAACAAAACCTCCAACTTCCAGGGATTGAGAAGTCAGTTTTCTAGAAGTGGAGAAAAGTTTACTCTGATTTTTCAATGACCCAAAATATGACTATATATGGGGTGCAGAAATGTAAGTGGGATGCAGATGGCTTCATAAGGCATTATTGCAAGGAAAATGGATTACAACCCTATGAAGGGCAGCTATTAGAGAAGCAAAAGAAAATTAAACAAATCTAAAAAAGAGCCATTTAGCCCTTTCTGAAAGCTGCGGCCACCCTGCTCGATTCTACTTGATGCACATGGGCAGTTCTCATTAAGGCAAATTGCAAACGTGCAACAGAGGGGGAACTGAACACTTATAAAACAGCCAGTGGAGCCAGTCTGGAATGAAATGTTTGTGATGAAATTGCAGGCGTCTCCCAAATTGCTAAAATGTGCCAGTTGCTTTACGTTTCTGATCAATCTCCGTTTTTTGTAAAGTTGGTCAGCAGAGAGCAGAAAATGAGTTTGGATGATGGGCTCAGCTCTGTAAATGACTATGCTCCATGACCCCCCCAACCACACCCACTTCAGGAGGTAGATGTGCTGCAAAGGATGTGATGTGCTGTAGCAGTTTCCTAGGCATAGTTTCCATAAAACACCAAAGGGGCTAGGAACCCACAATGGAGGGCCCTACAAAGCTGGAGAAATAAAACATGATTGTATACAGGGAACATTTCATTCTACCTCACAAACAATTATCCCTGTATTGGCTCAATGAAGAGAAAAAGAGAATAAGAAAAGTATCGGCTAGAGTCTTCATTAAGGTTTCACATGACATTGGCTGTTGACTTGTCCTGTTATAGGACTGGAATATCAGCCTTGATACCTCCAAGGTGCCGAATTGGCTGATGCTTGCTACTCAATTAGATGGAGTGTCTTATTGAACTATTCTGCTGAGGACTATGGCAAACTTCAAAATGTCTTGGTTAAGAAAAGCATTTGTTTATCTATAATAAATTGGACTTGTCAACTAATGCTGCATAGTAAAAAGAAGGCCAAGTCATTCTGGCCCACTGCTATCAACACCGATTTTCCAAATGCCAGTACAGGTAAGAGAAGGTTAAAGCCAGCACAGGGCACAGCACGTTACCTTTACAGGGAAGATTTCCTGTCCAAATCCATCCAAACGTTCCACTTCATTGATGTACATCAGTTCAGCTTCTGCTGGCAGGATTCCACTAAAATCAAAATAGCATCGAAGGAAGAAATGGTTAAGGGCAATCAGTGGAAGATCCCACTCTCCTGATGGCAAATTCCAGAGCTGTGGTTTAGCTCTAGTTTCTGGGAAGAGCAATCATTACCCAACTGTGAGGGTAGGGTGCATTACTAAGTAATTCATTAACATCTTTCCCAGTAGCCTTTTACTCAACAGGGAATAATAAGAGGAAGGTAAAGTATTTAATTCAGAGCCACAGCCCTATAAACATGAAATAATTATTCCAGACATCCCTTCGAATATGTTGCCTACTTTAAAAAGAAGTTATTTTTCTCTCATCTGGGAGAAATCTTCATTATGGGGAAAAAAAAAAAAAAAGGAAAAAGTTTATAATGAGGATAATATTTTGGGAGTCAAATGGCCATGGCTCATGCCTATAATCCCAGCATTTGGGGAGGCTGAGGCAGGTGGATCACTTGAGGTCAGGCATTCGAGATCAGCCTGGACCACATGGTGAAACCCCGTTTCCACTAAAAATATAAAAATTAGCTGGGTGTGGTGGTGCATGAGCCTGTAATCCCAGCTACTCGAGAGTCTGAGGCATGAGAATTGCTTGAACCCTGGAGGTGGAGGTTGCAGTGGCCCGAGATCACAGCACTGCACTCCAGTCTGGGTGACATAGTGAGAATGTCAAAAAAAAAAAAAAAAAAAGCCATGACGAGAGAACTTAGGATCACTCCATAGGCCTTGATATCAAACTCTTGGTGCTTCCTTGAATTAAAGTTTCTCTCTTTTTCTTTCCTTCACCTGCCTACCACTCAACACAGCACTTTAGGTCTTCACTCTCAGCACAGGCTTCCTAGATTCTCTGAGGAAGGAAGGAAGGGAGGGAGGGAGGAACGGAGGGAGGGAAGGAAGGAACCGAGCAGTTTTCAAGTCGACATTCACCTTTTCAGAACGGAAGTACAGAGCTGAGTCACGTGGTGGAAGAAATACAAGTGTGTTGGCTCAAGCCCAGAGTTGCTGATAGGGAGATGGATGCCTCCTGCCCCACAGGCAGTAAACATCTGTTGTGCAGGCAGCCCCTTACCCTCTGCCTGCCTTACCTGTGGGCTTTGTGTTCTTGGGCTACCTTCTGGGTCAGCTCCTCCAGAACAGCCTCTTCCAGGGCCAAATCCTATAAAAATAGAAAGTGCTTAAGGTCACACGAGGGTGTGGGCATTTGCTATTTTGATTGTAAACCTTAAAAGCTCCCTTCCTCAGATGTTCCTGATTAGTCACATTTCCTCAATATCTCCTTTACTGCTGTAGAATTAAAGGTTGTAATTTTTAGATGTGAGTTATGATTTCTACTGTTATAACATGGCTCTCCATTATAACAGGTTATTTCCAGGTATATTTTGGGTTGCCCCCTAAGTTCTGTGGTCCCGGGGAATAGCTCTTTTCATTTATTCTTCTCTATCCGCCTGCTTCTCAGATGTACATTTATAAAAAATGCTTTGCATGTGCTTACATATTTCTAATGCTTGGGGTATAGGCCAATGAGTTCCCAAGCCATCATCCCTTCAAAAGTTGAGCCTAGAAAGGGACTGTGCCAGTCCTTTCTGTATACCAGGAAATGCATTCAAAACCACTGAAGGCAGAGTAGGCTCATTCTGATGTTACTTGATGGTCATGGGGGCAGAGGAAGCCATGATGGCTAAAACATCTCCAGAGAGCTCTGTAAGGCAACAGGTGTGTAGCTCACTAGTCAGCTAAACCCCAGGTCCCTGAAACCCGCGATGTGCTGACTACTGTGGGCTCAGAAGAACCGATTACACACATCTTTTCCCAACTCCCCTTCCGAAACACCACGGTGGGAGGATTGACATCATGGAAATGGGCTTGCTAAACACTGGCCAGGGAAGCACTGCTTAGGATGGTGAGATGGAATCAAGAGGAATAATCCAAAATGAGCAGACCAAAGCAATTCATTCTTGAGAAGTCGATAGGGGTAGAGATTCTAGAGTTTGTCTCATGCCTGTGGTGGTCTGGGGCTCAAGTCCCAGGCCAGCTGCTTCTAGCTTTCCTGGGCAGCAGATCCCACATATTCCAGGCTAGTAAGCACCAACAGAGGCACAGATGGGCACTGTTTTCCTGTGAGCTTCAGAGGGGATGTCAGAAGGAAGTCTGAGCTACACCCTGATGTGGGTACCATCCTACTAGGAAGGGAGGTAGGGACTGATATTTTGGCAGAAATCATAACAAATGCCCCATTCCCTTGATTCTAAAATACGATTTATATAAAGATTTCATCTCCAATTTAACTTTTCATGGATGACAACACTACCCCTAAAAATGTACACCTCAAAACTGTGAAAAACATCCCATCTCAAATCGTTAAAATGTGAAAAATCAATATATTTTAAAACTGGAAAGCAAGGGCATAATTATATGCTAAAAATTCCATAGCTCTGCATGTCCTGCTAATTCTAGAGTTCATGAGAAACTTTAGAGCAGACAGGGAATTATGGCAGCTCTTACTTTTCACATAACTGATTAATTTGTGGTTTCCCATTTAGCCATCCATTGAAATGACTCAAGTTCATGATAAGAAATAAGCTCAACATTTTTAGTTTCATCTTGTGGAGTAACAAGGATACCACAAGACTTACAAAGTTAGCTATGTGTGTGCATCTAGGGATTGAGTAAAACCCCATTAATTTTGAAAAGCTAATGAAGGGCATGTGGCAAGAGAATAAAGTGAAGATCAAAAAGTGTTCCATTAAATCTCTGTTTCCTACTTTTAAAAAAGAAGAAGCCCAGAGGTACCCCTTCTGCTATTGTTCTCAACTTAACCGCCTCCATCTGCACCTGGGGCCTCCCTGAGGTATGTGCCCCACCAGGAAGAGTGTGAGCGTGGCCCTGTGGGAATGAAAAATGGCAGAGCGCATGCCTGTACACAGCCACACACCTGTGGAGCGCTCTGTGTACTTGACTTTGTTCTTTTCTCTGCTGAAGAAATGCCATTTAACAAATTTGGTTACATTGTAAGATCAAACACAGCCATTCATCCTATCTTCCCTCCCCCACCAAAGGAATGCATTCTCTTTGAAAGTTCCAGTGGAACCAAGCAGAAAGTTTACACCCTTCTAAGACTACCCCTGGCCTACTCAGCAAGGTCAACAGCAGGGCCTGGCATGCAGACCATTCTTCATTGTGATTCAGCTTCCCCTTCCAGACCTCCTTGCCCAAGAGGTCAAGTCCCAGGCCAACGCCTCTTCTAACACACACTGCTTTTACATTTCCATTCGGAAAGGATGGGCCTTTACATGCTCATCCCCCCTGGGAGAACCATCCCGTCACATCATGCAGTGTGAAATGCCACATCATCCTTAGGTCATGTCTCAGCTACCACTTCCCTTAATAGGGCTCTCCTCTCTCCCCAGCTGGACATAAGCATTTTCGCCTTTTGACCTACCTCTTCCCCTTATGCATGTCTCCTCTCGTATTCTGCCCACTGCATTTCTTACACGGTTATGTGTATACTCGTCTTATCCTTGATCCTTGTCTCCCACCCTCTATGAGAGTATAGGCTCCTCAAGGGCAGCAATTCTTCTTCATATCACTTAAGGGGCCTATCATAGGGCTTCTGTGCAATGACAGCTTATAAGGGCTAAATATATAGTAAGTGATAAATACATGCTTCTTGAACTGAACTCACTATGCAACATGTAAATTTCATGTTGTCAAACAAAAGTTTAATTACACAGAGCTGATTAACAATCACTGTACCTTCTGCCTGTGCTCTGCTTACATAACAAAATAAAAAAAAAAAAAAAAGTATAGAGTGATGTTACCTGGAAAGCACACGCTTCAACGGCCTTATATTTGCAAGACATAGAGACAGAATAATAGTGCTAATAACAATAATAATATGACAACTAAACAAACAGTTGTTGAGAATTTACCATGTGGCAACTTGTATTATATATTTCATAGTAGGTATTTCACAAGTATTATGTCCTTTAATGCTCACAACGAAATTAGGTTTGTTATTCTCATTTTTAGATGAGAAAACTGAGGCTTGGAAAGGTTAAATAACTTACCCAAAGTCATGTAGCCAATAAGGGGCACAGCTAGGATAGGGTCACAGCACTGCTCAGCAAAGGTGCCATGAAATTGCCAGCCACAGGCCACAGTGCACCCAGGATACAATGGGGCAGGGGTAGGGGCTGAAAGTGGACAGCCAATAACTAAAGTCTAGGAATATTCACAACTCAGATAAGGCCTCTGCCACATCACCTTCAGTGTTCAACAGGGCTTTTTGGGATGACGAACATGTTCCATACCTGAGCTTTCCAATACAGTAGCCTCTAGACACATGCCGCTACGGTGCACTAAAAATGTAGCCAAGGCCGTTGCAGTGACTCAGCCTGTAATCCCAGCACTTTAGGAGGCCAAGGAGCGCTTGAGGCCAGGAGTTCAAGACCAGCCTAGCCAACATGGCGAAACCCCATCTCTACTAAAAATACAAAAATTAGCCAGGCGTGGTGGCACACGCCTGTTGTCACAGGAGGGACTTAGGAGGCTGAGGCAGGAGAATTGCTTGAACCCGAGAGGCGGAGGTTGCAGTGAGCTGAGATTGCGCCACTGCACTCCAGCCTGGGTGACAGAGTGAGACTGTCTCAAAAAAAAAAAAAAAAAAATGTAGCCAATGCAATCAAGCAACTAAATTTTTAATTTTATTTAACTTGCATTACTTTAAATTTGAATGTAAATATCCACACATGGTTAGCGGCTACCACCCCAAAGAGAGCCATTTTAGATCCAAGAATAACAATGTCAACATTTGTCTGTCCAGTGACGAGATTATGAAGTCTATGCTGTTCACATATCTGATTTGCCTATTGTTTAGTGGAAACACAGTCTTATTCTGAAAGAGGTATAATGTACAAAATAACTCCTTTACTATTTCATAGCACTTTAACCTGTCAGAGCATTTTACCATCTACAAACTCATAAATATCATGCCGGTAATCACCTTTGAAAATTCTGAGAAGCACCCAAACCTGGTCTCTTCCTAAAGGCAATGTAATAAAGGCCTTTAATGAGAGTAAGGTGAATAAAATGTGCGAAATTATCAACCCACCCTTACTAACTACCCCATTTGACGCAAAAAAGTACACACTCTAAAATTCTAAGTTTGAGCCTCACTTTCCTCCCACCAAGCACATTGGGAAACACCCTGACTTTTGGGATGAGCTTCTGAGACATTAGAAATGTTGACTCAAGCATACTGACATTAAGCCCTATGAAGAATTTCTCTGCTAAGTAATATGTTAATCTCTTTGGAGTTTCATTTAATGAGTAGAATTAACAAGGTATGAAAACAGCAGGCACAGCAGATAATACTACTGTTTACTTGGAGGGAAATAAAATAAGAACGGAGGCTGGACACGGTGGCTCACGCCTATAATCCCAGCACTCTGGGAGGCCGAGGCGGGTGGATCACCTGAGGTTAGGAGTTCAAGACCAGCCTGGCCAACATGGTGAAACCCCATCTCTACTAAAAATACAAAATATTAGCTGGGCATGGTGCTGCACACCTGTAATCCCAGCTACTCGGGAGGCTGAGGCAGGAGGCAGAGGTTGCAGTGAGCTGAGATGGTGCCACTGCATTCCGGCCTGGGCAACAAGAGTGAAACTCCATCTCAAAAAAAAAAAAAAAAAAAAAAGAATGGAGTTATTCATGAAAAGTTAGAGATGTGCAATATTCCCTAACCATTAAGAACAAGGTCAGCTTTGGACCAATTTAGACTGACCTCATGCACTAATATGGATAATTCTAGACTTACCTATCCTAGTCTCTCAAAACCTAAAACCTTTGTCACCAGACACTCCAATTTCTCCCATATGCCATCACCGATAAGTTGCCAGATTTTGCCTATTTTACTTCAAAATATCCCTTGCTTTGCTTTCTTGTTTTTCTTTCACTAACACCTAAATTATATCCTTTGCCCAAAACACTAAAACGGATTCCCAGCTGGCCAGCTCAAATCCAGCAGTTCTCAAAGTGTGGGGTCTGCAGACCTCAAAGGTGCCCATGCATTCTAACTCCTCAGAAGTTTCCAGTCTCATCTGCCACAACTCCCCTCCAGTAGCTACAGTCAAACCACCCAGTGGATGCTTTCTGAACACCCAGGCCACACTGCCTCTGCTCCTTCTCTGTCTAAATCATTCCTTGCTCCCTACCTCTTTGCCTAATAGCTCACATGCCATTGGTCTTTCAGCCTTCCCTAATCCCCCAAGGGCATGTGACCTCTTCCCACATAAAATTTATCAGACACTTTATCACACTTGGCTCTTTATTCTGATTTTGCAAACTTCCTATTTAACCAACCACACTGTAGTCTCCTTGAAAACAAGCACCATTTCTTATATAATTTCATCCCCTGGGTGTTAGTCACTCAGGTCAGTGCTTGGGGTGAAAGAGTTGACCAAAAAAATAAGTAGTGAATAATCATGATTTCTGAAACCAGAGCCAGAATGTTGATTGGTTATAGCTGTTCCCTAAAATGGCTTTCAATTTTTTTTTTTTTTTTTTTTTTTCCTGAGACGGAGTCTTGCTCTGTCGCCCAGGCTGGAGTGCAGTGGCATGATCTCGGCTCACTGCAAGCTCCACCGCCTCCTAGGTTCACGCCATTCTCCTGCCTCGGCCTCCCCATTAGCTGGGACTACAGGCGCCTGCCACCACGCCCGGCTAATATTTTTTGTATTTTTAGTAGAGACAGGGTTTCACTGTGTTAGCCAGGATGGTCTTGATCTCCTGACCTCGTGATCCACCTGCCTCGGCCTCCCAAAGTGCTGGGACTACAGGCGTGAGCCACCGCGCCCGGCTCAAAATTTTTTAATCCCTCCTCATTAACACTCTTCTCTTTTACTCTGAAGCTACCAACCAAGCAACCAACCAACCAACAAAAATTCCCTAGGGGTTAAAATCTAGTCTACCTTTACTTCAACCCAGGAATGGGCATTTTAGTTTATTGATTCATTTTATTTTATTTTATTTTTTATTTTTTGCATCGGAGTCTTGCTCTGTCGCCCGGGCTGGAATGCAGTGGTGTGATCTTGGCTCACTGCAACTTCCGCCTCCCAGGTTCAAGCGATTCTCCTGCCTCAGCCTCCTGAGTAGCTGGGACTACAGGTGCATGCCTCCACACACAGCTAATTTCTTTTTTTTTTGTATTTTTAGTAGAGACAGGGTTTCACCGTGTTAGCCAGGATGGTCTTGATCTCCTGACCTCACGATCCACCCGCCTCGGCCTCCCAAAGTGCTGGGGTTATAGGCATGACCCACCGCACCCACTCTCATTCTAAAATTTTTATGCGCACAGGCTGTGTGCCAGATGACAGTGAACAAGACAGGATTCCTGTTTAAAGACCATAGAACTGACCTTCTAGCTGACAGTAATAAATACATACCTATGTACATACATAAGAATGAATAATGTCAGATACAGAAGTACACATATGAAAACTGATTTAACAGGAAGGATGGTGAGGGTGTATGGGACAGGGGGTCAAGGAAAGAAAGAGCTCTCTGGGAGGTAATATTTGAATTGAGACGTGAATGTCATAAAGATGTGCAGCGGGGCATTCCAGGCAGAGGAAACCCACATACAAAGGCTCTGGGGTGAGCAGAAGCTCAGTACGTTCAGACAAAAAAAAGAGCCAGCATGCCAGAGGGTAGAGAGTAAACGAGGGAGAGAGAGAAGCAAAGCAGGGAAGTGTCTTTTTTGTTAAAACAAAACAAAACTTTAATTCTATTGACAAATAATAATTGCATCTATTTACAGTACAATGTGATGTTGTGACCCACGTATATATTGTGGAATGGGCAAGTTAGTCTAATTAACATATCCATCATCTCTTATAATTATCATTTCTTTGTGGTGAGAACATTTAAAATCTACTCTTTTAGCAATTTTGAAATACACATTATTATCAACGATAGTCACCTTGCTGTGCAATACATCACCAGAACTTATTCCTAACTTTGTACCCTTTGATCAACATTTCCTCCTTCCACCCAACACTCAGCTTTGGGAACCACCATTCCACTCTCTACATCTATGAATTCAACCTTTTTTGATTCCACATACAAGTGAGACTGGGCAGTATTTGTCTTTCTGTGCCTGGGTTTTTCACTTAGCATAATGTACTCTACACTCATCCATCTTATGGCAAATGACAAAATTCTGTTCTAAGGCCCAATAGTATTCCATTGTGTGTATACACCACATTTTTACCCATTGATCTGCTGGTGAGAGCTTAGGTTGTTTCCATATCTTGGCTATTACAAATCATGTGGCAATGATCATGGGAGTGTAGACATCTCTTTGACATACCATTTCATTTTCTTTAGATACATACCCAGAAGTGAGACTGCTGGATTATATGGTAGTTCTATTTTTAATTTTTCAAGGAACCTCTAAACTGTTTTGCAAAATGGCTGGAAGTTATACCTCCTTTACTCCTCATGTTCAGTAACACTTGTTATCTTTTACCCTTCATGCTCAATACTCCTGATGCTCAGTAAGACTTTACTCCTCACGCTCAATAACTTTACTCCTCATGCTCAATAACACATGTTATTGTCCATCTTTTTGATAACAGCCAATCTAACAGATGTGAGGTGGTATTTCATTGTGGTTTTAATTCGCATTTCTCTGATGATTAGTGATACTGGGCATTTTTAATATGTCTGTCGGCCTTCTGTGTATTTCCTTTGAGAAATGTCTATTCAGGTCCCTTGACCATTATTTAATAGGGCTATTTGTTTCCTTGTTGAGTAGTTTGAGCTCCTTATATAGTTTGAGCCCCTTATCTGATGTATAATTTTGCAAATATTTTCTTTCAATGTGGGGGTTGTCTCTTTATCTCTGTTGTTTCCTTTGTTGTACAGAAGCTTTTTAGTTTGATGCAATCTCATTTATCTGTTTTTACTTTTGTTGCCTATGTTTTGGGGGTCATATGCAAGAAATCGCTGCCCAGACCAATGCCATGTAGCTTTTCCCCCATGTTTTCTTCTAGTGTTTTATAATTTCAGGTCTTACATTTAAGTCTTTTTCTTTTCTTTTTTTTTTTTTTTTTTGTTAGATAAAGTCTTGCTTTGTCACCAGGCTAGAGTGCAGTGGCACAATCTCAGCTCACTGCAACCTCCGCCTCCTGGGCTCCAGTGATTCTTCTGCCTCAGCCTCCTGAGTAGCTGCGACTAGAGGCGTGCGCCACCATGCCCAGCTAATTTTTGTATTTTTAGTAGAGATGGGGTTCCACCATGTTGGCCAGGATGGCATCCATCTCTCGACCTTGTGATCTGGCCACCTAGGCCTCTCAAAGTGCTGGGATTATGGGCGTGAGCCACTGTGCCTGGCCACATTTAAGTCTTTAATACATTTTGAATTGATTTTTGTACAAAGAGTGAGATAAGGATCCAAATTCAATCCTCTGCATGTAGATGGCCAGTTTTCCCAGCACCAGTTGCTGAAGATACCGCCCTTTCACCAGTGTGTTCTCAGCCCCTCTGTTGAAAAATCTATTGGTTATAGATGTGTGTGATTTACTTCTGGGCATTCTATCCTGTTCCATTGGTCGTTGTGTCTATTTTTTTGCTAGTCTCATATTGTTTTAATTACTATAGCTTTGAAATACAGTTTGAAATAAGGTAGTGTGGTATCTCCGGCTTACTTCTTTTGCTCAAAATTACTTGGGCTAATTGGGGTCTCTGGTGATTCCATATGAATTTTAGGATTGTTTGCTATTTCCATGAAGAATGATGTTGGAATTTTGATAGGGATTGCATTAATTTGTAGATTACTTTTGGCAGACATTTTAACAATACTGATTCTTCCAATCCATGAAGATGGGGTATCTTTCCATTTGTGTCATCTTAAATTTCTTTCATCAATGTTTTATAGTTTCCAGCATACAGAATTTTCACCATCTCAGTTAAATTTACTCCTAGGTTTTTGGTTTTTGTTTTTTTAATATCATTGTAAATGGAATTGTTTTCTGTCAACTCTCACTACTTGTATTAAACATAGTACTGGAAGTCCTAGCCAGAGCAATTAGGCAAGAGAAATAAAAAACAGCCAAATAGGAAAGGAAGAAGTAAAATTATGCTTGATGATGACATGATCTTATATGTAGAAAACCCTAAATATTCCACAAAAAAAACTGATAAAACTGAGAAACAAATTTAGTACAGTTTCAGGTTACAAAATCAGCATAGAAAAATCAGTAGCATTTTTATATACTAATAAGAAACTATCTGAAAAAGAAATTAGGGAAGTGTCTTGAGGCAGGAGGTACTTTTACCTTCTCAGTGTGTTTTATAAAACTTGCCCCTACTTTATAAATACATCGACTTTTTCCCCAGGGAATATGCGTATGTAAAATCCTGAAATTTTCAAAGGAAAGAACTAAATGTCCAAAGAAGGTAGAAAATTACGAAAAATGAAATTATACTTACCATAGGAAATAGCACATACTCTCTGAGGAAATCTTGAGAATCAAACTGATTATAGTCTCCAAAATCAGCTGAGAAGAAAAGAAGGTGGAAGGGTAGTATTTATTATAAGAAATTAAAGATAGAATAAAATAGGGCAAACTCATCACCACATCATTCTTCACATTTCATCCTATTTCTCACTATTATTAAATAAAAATAGTGCCAAGGTATGTTTGACGTAGTTACTTTTATCTAACAGTATGGTAAATATCAGCATGTAAGCATCACTACATGATTTTTTAGAAATAATGAAGAAATTTAAAAACAATTCATAAAGGCCACTTAAAAAAATTTAAACAAACCTATACTTGTCTGTTTGTTAAATATGCATCAATTTGTATCTTAAGAATATCTGCCAAGGGGACTTTTTAAACTCAAGGTTAATCTGGAGTACTAAAGAACCCATCTGTATCTTTTCATATATATGCAGCTGGAAATTCCCACTGTAAAACACCCTTGGCAAGCAACCTCAAATACCTTTCTACCTCCTAAATAACTTCACATGTTACAAGATGCCAAGAATTGTTTTCCCTGTTTTCATGTCACCATGGTACAGTTTGAGCACATGCAAAATGAAATATATAAATGTCTTCTTATCTTGCTTCCTCTTCTAAGAACTAAACCTGCATGAAGTTTTAATTTCATGTAAAATATTTGGCATCAGATAGAAATGGATCCAGGTATCTTTAAGGCAACAAGAGATATAGGATGAAAGGATACACACACCATGCACCAATGCTGAGAAGTTGCTGAGAAAGTAAAAAATAAACATCAACCTACAAACTCAGCACGTAACAAATTACCAATTAGGTGCAGCATTCAAGAATAGCAAACATCACTCGCTCTGCCTATTTCCAAGTTCAATCACTGGTTATCACATTCCACCACAACTTCTATTTCTGTTGATGTATCTTTCTAAAAACCCAATAAGCATTCTCAAAAAAAAAGTTATTTGCAAAGGATTAGAGGACCTTTCATCAGACTGAACAGCTAGCTTCAAGGACCCAATGAAAAGGGAATCCAGAGGAAGTTCATCAAATTCCTCAAGGATCCTCCAGTATCCAGGATGCCCATAATAAGCCTAATGACAAAGTAGTGAGAGGAAAGAGTACATGCAATAAACAAAGCTTTTTATTTATCTATTTATTTATTTATGTTTTAGAGACAGGGTCTTGCTTTGTCATCCAGGCTGGGGTGCAGTGAACTGATCATAGCCCTCTGCAGCCTCAAGCTCCTGGACTCAGGCGATCCTCCCACCTCAGCCTCCTGAGTAGCTGAGACTACAGGTGCGCACCACCATGCTGGGCTACTTTTTTATTTTTACATTTTTCGTAGAGACATAGTCTCATTTTGCTGCCTAGGGTGGTCTCAAACTCCTGGTTTCAAGTAATCCTCTCGCCTTGGCCTCCTAAAGTGCTGGGATTACAGGCATGAGCCACCACACCTGGCCCAACGAAGTGTTTTAAAAGGAGAAAGACCCAATTTGACAATGAGGGACATATTGATCTTCCCCATTATTTCAACAATGCTACCTCTGATTTCTCTATCATAACTGGCCAGTTTCTTCCCCTCCAGTCTTTAAGCAGACCGAGGTGATACATCAGATTTTGCCTGTTTCCATCCACAGAATTACAACAGAAGCTAACGGTATAGAAATTGTACTTCTAACAGAAATCGTTAAGTTGTTAGTACTTCAGAATGAAAGAGGTCAGGATGCCTCTTCAGACATTTAGATCTGAGATAATTCAATTCAGTCCAATGTCTGGGATGGGAAGTCAGTTCACACCTTCTAAAACAACAGTCCATGCAGCAAGGACCCAGCTGCTGGCTGGTTCACATTTGCAGAGAACCTGGTTTTCAAGAAAATGACTAAAAGGAAAAGTTTCTTTTCAAAAACTATATTACCATCTTCTTGCTTTTTAAAAAAAAAAAAATTTTAATTTTTACTTTTTGAGACAGAGTCTAGCTTTGTCACCTAGGTTGGAGTGTGGCGGTGTGATCTCAGCTCACTGTAACCTCCACCTCCCAGGTTCAAGCGATTCTCGTGCTCCAGCCTCCTGAGTAGCTGGGATTACAGGCGTGTGTCACCATGCTTGGCTAATTTTTGTATTTTTATTAGAGACAAGGTTTTACCATGTTGGCCAGGCTGGTCTCGAACTCCTGACCTCCAGTGATTCGCCCACCTCAACCTCCCAAAGTGCTGGGATTACAGGCGTGAGCCACCACACCAGCCTATCTTGCTTTCAATATGACCGAAGGTGGTTAAGCCACCACTCAATAAACCATAATGTATAAAATATACATATAAAGTTCCACACATAACAATTTAGAGAAGGCAAAAGAGAGCTATGTAATATAAACCTATATAGGATGGGTTGGAAGATAAACTCAGTCCAATACACATTTGTTGTTTCATGTTACAATCATGGATTTTAAATTTATCTTTTTAATGGCATTAGAATACATTATACCATAATGTTTAAAGCTATCACACTCCAAGAAGTTGTGATAGTAACACCTTTGCAGCATCAAGCCACAGAATATGACCACATTGTGCCTTGGAATAATTCTGAGAAAATGCTCCACAAACCCTGAAATGTAGCCTTAATTAAAGGCAGAATAAAAGCTGCTATTTCCTCAAATAAAACTGTAATTATACAAGCATGAGCAGTTTGCAAACAGCTTTGAGAAATCTACCACCCGGCCACCAAAAATCACTAACTTTGCATTTTTCACGTAAGATAACTTGAAATAAAAAGGGAGCATTACTAAGGGATCATTTAAGTAAATCTAACTTCTCACTCTGAGAGGACGGTAACACCATGATCAAACAGAAAATGGAATTTCACATGCTGCTCATAACTATGTCTTACCTTGCACAGCTAGGCCGGCTAGCCGAATCACCTGGTCCAATGTACATCGTAATCGCCCTTCAAGCACATCTTTTTTGACTTGCAGATAATACTGATATCTGTTCATGGGAATAGAGGAACAAACAACCTTAAAAACACATACTTGGAATAGATTCCCACAACACAGATGCCTCTAGATGTAAAACCTTGTGTACACAGCAGGATATGCCCGTGATGCTGATAAAGGCCATTTCTATAAAAGATGGAAAGTGACCTCTGCCTGTGTTTATCTTTGTTTGATGTGGCAGGTGCCACATCCTGTTCACTCTGAGCTTCAGAGGATTCTCATCACATCACTTATTTGCAGGCCAGCAGGATAAACTACTGATAAGGACCAGGTCTTCATAACAGAGTCCAAGAATGAAAATGCTTTTGCACACCTGGAGATCCACGACAACACGACTGCCAAAGTTACATTCAACAGTGTGCGTTCCTGAGTGCATTCTAGAAACACATCGCCTTTCAAACTCAAAAGTTTGGTAGGCAGATCACAAAGAGGACACGTAATTTGTAATTCCACTACAAAATGATATACAGTTTTGACCTTACACATCTGTGAATCAGAAAAATCTAATCTGATGCAACTTTCCAAACTGAAGTAAATTCTCAAACCAGCACAGTACAGATGGACAGAATCAGGCCCAAACACATCAAGTCTCAGACTAGACAAATGCCCTCAGGAGCTAACACAGTGTACTGTTTCCCTACCAATAAAACAGCACTCTTAGAATTACCTAAAACATTTAGAAAACTTCTCACTCAAGACGTTTATTTCCCAGGACTCCACTTCCTTTGACCATACTCTCAACACATAGTCACAACTACAACAATCACACTTTTCTAGCATTAATTCCTGGTAAATGCTAACAATGCTTTTGCTCCTGGTAACTATAACTCTGTATTTTAACTTCACTTTGGCATCTCAATCAAGGGAACCCAGAAGTGAACCAAAGCCCAACTTTCCTGGAGAGAGGCAATCGGCACTGAGAGCTAATTACTGCTGGCTCTCCAATGATGATGTCATAGGCATCATTAGACATAAGTCAATCCAATGTCTGTTTGAGGGAAGGAACTGGGCTCTGTGCACACTCCAGTCGAGTCCCACACTTCTTCTCTCCTCTTGGGTGTACTGAACGGAATAAAGACAACCACGCCACTCTTTGGTGGGAAAAACCTATACTCAAATCAGAAGGGCAAACACTGGGACTTTCTTAAAAATCCTTTTTAGTCAAACCTAATATGGGCTAGAAAAAAATCACAAAGCACAACAAAAAGCAAAATCTCAAGGTAGGAAAGAATGGTAGATTTCACCGATTCCTACTAATTATAAAACGTTTGAATCTCATCCTCATGCCATTCATTCCTTCTCATCTTTCTGGTGTGGTTTTGACTTATTTGCTGCTCTCTAAGCCAGGAAGCCAAACAGATATTTTAACCCATAGCTATCATGCACTTTCTATGGGCGTAAGTCTGCTAGATGCTGAGGAGTATCTTGGAGAGTGCCACAACAGTCTCTGCCTTACAAGGATGCATATATCTTTTTGACCACTGTGACCATGTTTTTTCTAGTGTACTATCTAAGGGTTCAGTGATTAAGAACCAAGGAGTAAAATATCTGAAAAGGTGTTATCCTGGCATTATCTGCCAGAGGCAGAACTTTGTTACCTGTCACCTTGGAGGTGAAAATGATCAGTTAAGATAATTTATTAGAGAATACCTTTGGAAGTAGACCAATAACCAATTAATCTGCCACGAAAACAATAGCTCTAGTTTTTAAAAATCTCCTGCTTCCAACTTTCATCTATAGCTATTACTTCTATAATTTGTCAGTAAGTTCTGTTACAGATCCATTCTATCCTAGGAAACAGTGACTCACAATCCACTAGCAAGGAACACCAGGAACGTTTCTAATCATGTAGGTTGGATGTAGGATTTTGCTGGAATATAAAAATAAGGAGCTGAAGAAAGCAGGGCTCTCTCCTGGAAGCCATCCAAACTAGGAGAGAATCTAAACAGCAGCAATGATACGGTGCCATTACCACGAGATTGTGGGTATTACTATGTAAGACTGCAGAAATGAGAATGAAATTCAAACCACTTTGGAAATTGTTTGGCTGGTACAATTTTGCACAAAAGGCAGTTTTATAAAATATGATAATTCTATCGAACATGGTGACTAAATTTGACAACAGGAGTTGAAATTCTATTTCTAGAATGCCTGCTCTTTGCTTATTTCTCATTAGCGATTCAATTATAACAGTAGTAAAATATAACAGTGAATTCTATTTTGGAAACATGCAATTTCATGGAAGTATACTCCACCCTGTCACAGTTCTGGGTGGAGAGGAAAAGGAAAAAAAAAACAAAAAAAAAAACAATTTTCATGCCAGGAAAGTAAGTATTTGCCAACTTTCCAAAGAGATCCTCTTTGAAAATCCAAGCTCACAAGGAAAACTTTTTAATATTTTTCATATTCAGAGACCTGGAAATAGTCCATCTGACTCTTGAGGCCCAATGAATGGTTTTAGGTTAGGATTCTGCTCTTCCTCTAAGAATTAGTGAACATAATTATGCTTCTCGAATAAAGGTAAACTTTTATATTTTTAAATTTTTAAATTTTGTTTTTAAAGATTAACTTTTTATTAAATACAGATTTCTCGGGGTAAAATTAAGGTGTCCTAATAATAAGTGTTATTATGCATGACTACTGGGAACGAACATGCTATCACCTAGTCTCTGGGGGCCTCATCTATCTGGAAACTCCCCATCCGATGGTAAGAAAATAAGTGACTTTTCCAAGTTACTTCCTCCCCTAGGAGTTTGAAAAATTAAGTTTGAAAAAATGCCCTATTGGGTCAAATCAACAGAGTCTTCAGTACTTTTGACGGCAGTATCAAAGGACTCCTTCCAAATTATACCCCATAACAATATCTTCAAAATTTAGAGATGAATTGCTAAAATCTTTTTTTTTTTTTTTTTTTTTTTTTTTTGAGACGGAGTCTCGCTCTGTCACCCAGGCTGGAGTGCAGTGGCGCGATCTCAGTTCACTGCAAGCTCCGCCTCCTGGATTCACGCCATTCTCCCGCCTCAGCCTCCGGAGCAGCTGGGACTACAGGCGCCCACCACACGCCCGGCTAGTTTTTTGTATTTTTAGTAGAGACGGGGTTTCACCGTGTTAGCCAGGATGGTCTTGATCTCCTGACCTCGTGATCCGCCCGTCTCGGCCTCCCAAAGTGCTGGGATTACAGGCGTGAGCCACCGCGCCCGGCCAAATTGCTAAAATCTTTATGTTCTCTTTTAAATTCATGTACGAGGAATTTATCTCAGCACGTCTGCAACTGTGTTTTACTTGAGGTTCTGTTCATTCTTCTCAGAGTGAGCAGGTCTGTGTGGTGTTCTGAAAGGCATGGGCTGTGTTACCACAGAACTACAAATAAGGCACCAGGAACTCCGAGACCGGGTAGGTGTTGCTTTTAAAATATTTCCTCCACCCCTCCCCACAAGTGAAATCTTCATTCCAGGTCCAGTTCAAGAGATGTGCCCCAAACAGGAGACAGCCACGTAAAATGGTTAAAGCCTTGGGATCTGATTTTGGTCATACTACCACCCCAGAATGCAACACGCTCAGCGTAAGTCACAGAATGGTGAAGACAGAGCAGGGCCCTTGCCACGCTTCCAGATGTCTGCTGCCTTCCCAACAGGGTCATGCCCACCTACCTCGTTACTCCTGGGACTAGCTTTGGGGCCAATGAAATGAGAATAGAAGTGGGAAGTAATTGTTGCTCCCAAGCAAAAGTGTCCAGAGCCAGTGACGGGTTCTCTGCCTCTGCTTCCCTTTGCTCTGAGACCTGCAGTGAGCAGGGAGGGCAGGTTGCTCAGTGAGCCTGAGCCCTGGGCAAAGACGGCTGGGAGCAGAGCCTCAGGCAACCCACAGTGGACCTGCCAGGTGGGCAGCAAATAAACCTTTGTTTGTGAAACCCAAAGAGGCTGGGGGGTCATACATCACTGCAGCATGATGGAGCCTAAGCGATTTAACAAGGGAAGGACTTTTTAAAATCCCAGTCCAATCCTTTCATTTTTTAGAGAAGGCAGCTGTGTTAAGGGAGGAGAATGACTTGTCCAAGGTAATACTGCTTCCTTAAAGACAAGGCCAGAACCAGATCTGAGCATGAACAACCACAGTGGCGAAGGCAGGATCTGATCCCTGCCCATTCTGGGAAAGCCACCAATTTCACTGAAGTCTAAAAATAAAAGCGAAACCGGGCGCGGTGGCTCGCCTGTAATCCCAGCACTTTGGGAGGCCGAGGCAGGTGGATCACAAGGTCAGGAGTTCCAGACCAGCCTGGCCAAGATGGTGAAACCCCGTCTCTACTAAAAATACAAAAATTAGCTGGGCGCAGTAGCATGCGCCTGTATTCCCAGCTACTCGGGAGGCTGAGGCAGGAGAATCGCTTGAACCTGGGAAACACAGGCTGCAGTGAGCCGAGATCGTGCCACTGCACTCTAGCCTGGGTGACAAAGCGAGACTCCATCTAAAAATAAATAAATAAATAAAAATAAAAGCGAAAATAAAACACTACTACCCGGTGATTTTTATGACGCTTCTAAGGAAGGGCTTCCATCACCAAGCTTTTCCCCAACCCCACTGAGACAGTCTGTGCTACAGCGTATGAGGCAAATGTTGAAATGAGAAACTTTTCCATAAAATCCTATTACAGGACATGTTTCATACTGTAGCCAGTGGTTATTCAGGTCTGTTTTTTCTCCTGGCAGCAGCCTCTGGGATGTTTCACTTTTCTCCTCCAGAGATAGAAGGAAGGGAAAGGAGACTGAGTTATACATTTTAACTACTTGTTAACTTTCAAAGACGGATAGAGGGATAGAAGTAAAATCTACAGACCAGAGTTTCTGATTGTAGGCTCCTACGTGGAAGGAGCGGCTGTGTCCAACAGCAGGTACAAACTGGGCCCTCTGTGTATATATTTCTAAATGCAGATTTTTAAAAAGTAAAATGCAAGTCATCATCAGTGTCACACACAAGTCTTTACTCGTTTGCACT